CCCCTTCCTCCCCTCCTCTTCTGACTTGCTGCCACTGAGTGTGTGTCTCGCCGCAACTCTAATCGGACAACCTTCGAATCCTCACCAATTCTTAGGAAGCCAGTCGGATTCCCGGGAGCCAATGAGATGCCGGCGAGGCAGATGGACATGAGAGAGCCCCAATCAGATCCCACGCTCGGATCAAAGTAGGAGTTTATTCTGCTGCATGTCCGTTTTCTTTCGTTTGATGACTCTGGCCTATTTAGCCTTTCACCTGAGCCCAGCACTCCCTGAATGAGTTGTTTTTTTTACTGGTCGAACGTACGAACGGGCCTAGGAGCTGAACTCCTAAGGTGTAGTGGTGCATGCTTTGGGCTGGAGCATGGCATGATGGGGACAGTTTTGTGCGGCTAGAGCAGAGAAATAAAGTAGAATCCAGTCTTAAACCATTTTAAGAGAGTGTAAAATGGCGGATTGTTTGTGTTTTTTTTTTCCTTTTCAATGCACTCCTGGATCCTTCAATTCTCCTTGCAGCAGGCTTGTTTCAGTATTTGGCATGCTGATGTAACATACTGCTTCACAGACCGTTGCAGTGCTCTGTGACAGAAAATGCATCTACACTGCAAAAACACCTCCTAATTTCTGTAATCTAAGAAATTAACCATCAGCAGTAGCATGAAATTTACAGTAGCTCTAGTAAAATGTAAAAAAAAATCCCCCAAACATTACACTTTAGTACCTGTAAATGTAAAAGCTGTGGTTTTATTATTCCATTAATCACTTTGTACTTTGATTTTGCAGGTATTTTATTAATTACGTTACCCAAAAACCGACATTCCCATCTTATACGGTCTCTTCCTTAAACGCAAAAGTAATCACCGTATATATAGATATCACAATCTAAAACCAAAGATTTTATCCTCCCCTACTATCAAATGGAAACTCATGATGAGCTACTAGCGTTGAAATCAGGCCACTGTGGACGAGTATCTAACATTTAAAGGTGCTGTTAGACATTTTGGGAAATATGCCCAGCTGCTTTCTTGCAGAGAGTTAGATGAGAAGATCAATACCACTAAAATAAATATCAAGCTACAGCCAGGATGATGGAGAGGGATTAGAGAGATCAGAGTCAACATTGCAAATGCGGTTTGACATCTAACCAGAAGTGCAAAACGGAGCGAGCGCGAAGCGGAGTTAAACAATACGTACAGGTGAAGATTATGTGGCTCGTGTACACAGTATATCCAACATGAATGAGTAGATAGAGGGAGTTTGTCGTAGTTTGTCTGAAAAAAGTGAATTTAATATGGATTAAACAACCTTCTGATGTTCTGTAAAGTGGATTTAAGTAAACCGTCTTCCCCTGTTTTCAGTCTTCAGAGATGAGAGCATCCATCTTCTTGTGTAGCTCTTAGCAAGAAAGCAAATACTTTCTAATATGCTGAACTACTAATTTAGACATTTCTTTACCTAAATCAGTAAAAAAAGAAAAAGTTTCAGAAATAAGCTCAGTTTTTTCCCCTATAACAGGACCACAGCTGATCTCTATGCGTTTCTTAGCGAGGCAGGATTCTTTATCTTTGACGAGGAAAACAATCATCCTGACATGAGTGAAATTATTTTTTTTTATTGCTCTTTTTGCAGTGTAGTGCCGTCTAGTTGTTTTCAGGCAGCGTCCTCCTGCAGGCGCCGACACCTTGCATGAATATCCAGTACATGGGTGCTGCACATATCCCAGGTGTCCGCAGATGTTGATGAAATATTTAAGGAAATCTGACTAGAGAAGGGAGCCGTGGCGCTGTTTTTGTAATCACCTGGAAAAGAAAGTTCTGAAGGAAAGGCACCACCTTGGCACAGATTTTCTCATTGTTCTTAGTCCCTCCTTGGTAAGTATGAAATAACAAAAAAAAAGGTAAACAAATGTCACACAGCAGTAAATGGCAGGAATTCATGAATCAAACCAGCACACACACACGCACGCATTCTCCTCGGCGAAAATCCTCAAGACTCTGCATTCCTAAAAGCTCCCGAACACACATCCCGAGTCCCTGCAGCAAAAAAAAAACAAAAAAAAAAAAACAAAAACGGCCTTGGTGATTCTGCCGAGTGTGTGTGTTCATGTGTGTGTGTGTGCATGAGTGCAGATGAATACCTGTCAGGCAAGAGATGCGTGATGTGACACTTTGTTGGCTGTTAGAGGCTCTCGCTCTCTCCAGGTGGACCGCTGCATTTCAGAAAACGCACAAACACCGGAGCACAAGCGCGCACATATGCACACACACACACACACAGCTGGGACGCTGGGGTGCTGGATATGGCCCAGCATTTTAGCAGATGGCCTGGGTGCTACGCTATCAGTCACCATAGTAACATGCTCTCTTTTTCCTCTTTCTCTCTGTCTTTCTCTCCCTCTCTCTAGTGCTAAGAGAAGGAAAATGGCAGACAAGATTCTTCCGCAAAGGGTGAGGCTGCATATTTTTACCTTTGTTGCTCTGTTTTTTCCTGTGTGGTTGTGTTTTTTGCGTGCAGAGGCGAGAGAAATTCTGGTCGGTTTTTGATGTCTGGGGTTCTTGGAAAGCGCAGAGGGCCAGACGATTATTTGTTGTTTCCAAATGAGAAGAGAAGGAGGATGAGGGGAGCGATCAGTAGGTTTTAGGGCTTTTTTTTAAAAGGGGGTTCACTCTGTTATTTGGACGCAGGCTCATCGATTTAAATAGGCAGCGGGATATGAGCAGAGACGCAACCACAAGTAGAGGCAGCAGAATCACCACGTTGCCACAGGTGAGTCAGTGCCGACTGAGGTTGCGATTTTGATCCCGTGGTCTCAGTTTCTCGGCCCTGTGCCACGCCATCGCCTCACCACGTCCTGGCCAGCACACAGAAGGCTTTCACGCTGAAGCTGTGGAGGTCTGGAGGCTGTGAGGGCTCAGGTCTTATCCCCCCCAAACACAGCCCAGACAGGCTGATAGCAGTAGGCATGGCCGGGGCGCCACTCCATAATAATGAGTCAGGGACAGGGAATGTCTGCCACACTCCTCCGTCAGCTCGGCCCGGTGAAAGGCGGCGAGATGGAGATAGAGGAGGAATGAGAGGGAACAATGAAGGCAGCCTTTTAGACAGAAACATGAAAGAGGGAAGAAGAGGGAGGGAGCGAACTGGAGGAGTGTGTGTGCACAGTTTGGTAAGCAGCAGCCTTGCTCTGAGGACTTTCATCGGTATGGTAATGTCTGAGTCCTGGCTGGTTGGCTGCACAGTCTGCATCTCATTCTGATCCCCCAGTGTCCCGGGGATGGAGCGGCCCACCGCATTAAAGGGGCTCTGATTTGCTTTTCCTTATCTTCTGTCTTATATATATCATGTTACGGTGTCAGATATTAATATTAAATCTGGTCTAATCTTTCAAATAATCAGGTAAACATAGGTAAAAGTGATCCCTGTGGACTGGGCAGCAGCAGTGAAATACAGATCTACTACTTGGAGCTAGTTGTACGTTCCTTGAGTGTTTATTACCAGTTTATACTTCAGCTTCACTACATTCAACATACATACATTGTACTCTTCACGCTACTACATATATTAGGATTCTTGCATAGAAACATTTCATGTGCTTTCAAAATCTGATGCTTACAGTAAATACAAACTGAGCTGGAAATGTTTGACAGTCAATTATTTTTAAAGCAAAATCCATGATTTCAGCTTCTCAAATGTGAGATTTTGCTGCCTTTCCTTTAAAATAATTCTAAACATTTTAATTAATTGTTGATAACTCTGAGGTTCAGTCTGTTTGTGTTACCTTGGATGACTGTAAAATGGCATTTCTGACTATTTTCTAAACTGTCATTATGCTAATTGAGACAATCATTAGTAAACAGAAAATAATTTGAAAACAGCCACAAATTAAACTGTAAAATTCTGCTTTTACACATATGCATCAGTACTGACTATTTAGTTATGTAGTGCTTAGTATTGTGACTACTGACTGTATTTAAATACTTGATAAGTAGTAGTTTCAATGCAGGACTTTTACTTGTAATGGAGTATTCTTGCAGTGTGGTATTTGCTTAAGAACACTTAAGCAGCAGCTGAGAAAGAAAAATATTTGTGAAGAAAAATAAGTTATTTCTATACAATGTACAAAGATTTTAATGGATGGTGAGGAATGGTGAGGTATTTATTCCTCATTCCTTTGATGAAATGTAAAGACTGTAAGCTATTGTTCGGTCAGTTTTCTGATGGAACAGATGAGTAAGTTGACAATCTGATGATTCTTTCCATTTTTACAGTTCCTGGCTGTGATAAATGATGATCATTTTGGCGATTTTTACGTGCCTTTCAAACCTGCTGGTGGGCTTTGGGGTTCACAGGCTTAATGTCTCCAAATAAATCTTCTTACAAAATACATTTTTTTGACAGAGAGAGTGGAATAACCGCACAGCTATTTGAAGGGAAAACTACAGGAAAGGATATGTAAAGTGTTAAAATGTCCTTGAAACACGGCGGTGGACCCCCTACCAGCACCGGCACCAGAACAGACAGCTTATCTGCTTAATCCCTTTAGTGATATTCAGATATGAGACTCCAACTTCCTGATTCATGGTGTGAAACGCAGTCTGATCTCAAAAATTTAACGTGAGATTGTCTTCGCTCTGAGCAGATCCGTGAGCTGGTCCCCGAGTCTCAGGCCTACATGGACCTGCTGGCGTTCGAGCGCAAACTGGACCAGACCATCATGCGTAAACGTGTGGACATTCAAGAAGCACTGAAGAGACCAATGAAGGTAATAAGCACAAATTATGACTCAGGATGTCGTGCAGCAGCTGCCAAAAGTTCTTAAATTGTAAATAATGAACTTGCTTTTTAGTACGGTTTTAGCAACGTTACATTTCAATTAGTGATTTTACGGAATATCCCTTTAAACTTGGCTGTTTGTCGTGCCCTTGTGTCAGCAGCAAAAGCGTAAACTGAGGCTTTACATTTCCAACACCTTCAACCCTGCCAGACCTGATGCCGACGACTCGGATGGCAGCATTGCATCATGGGAGCTGCGAGTGGAGGGAAAGCTGCTGGATGACGTGAGTTTTGTTATTTATTATAAAATACGCTCAAACTGTGTCACATATTCAATTTAAAAGGAAAACACCGCTTAAAAATACAGTTTCTGGGTGCAGTGTTATGTCATCTCTGGTGGATGAATTCAGAGTCAAACAGCTGCTTGTCCTCTAAAAAATAACTGAGTTTATAATCTTCTCATTTAGTATGAAAGTGTGCCGCTCTTTGATCTCGGAGCAGCTCTGGGTCGTCTTTGGCCTGCAGTCACGCTCTGTAATGATGTGCTCAAACGACTTCGGACAGAAAAGTATCGACTGGCTCGGAATATAAAACCAGTGATTGATGTCGAGAAGAGAAGTGTTTAGAGAGGCTGTAGATGCAGCATGAAAAGCAGAATGACTTTACATTTGTCTTGTGCTGCTGCAAAACGCCCTGATGTTCTCAGCAATCCAGGGCAAGGCCGTTGTTTCACAGCAGTAAGAAGCATTTAGGTCTCACAAACCACAAATATTTCTGGTTGAGCTCGGAGGAAGTGGACCCTGAGAATGTCTCGTGTCTCGGCCCCTTGTGGGTTTTTGATGAGTAATGTTGCTATAAGCAAAGACATGGCGACAAGTGTTTTTTTCATTTGTGAGCCTACTTAAGAGTGTTTCATGTGTATAAATGTGCCTGTGCGACTGATTTTGGACGTTAGCTGACCACCTCTATGTCTGTTTTGCAGCCGGGGAAGCAGAAGAAGAAGTTCTCGTCATTTTTTAAGAGCCTGGTGATCGAGTTGGACAAAGACCTGTACGGTCCGGACAACCACCTGGTCGAGGTCAGCTCAAACACCACACCCTGTGCAGGGAAAAAGAGGCTAATTTTAGAACCACACATCCATCATCTGATCAAAACTAAATAATTGCAGATTTGTCGTGATGAACAATGTCTTCAAATGTCATCACAATATTTAATCTTATGGTTTTAACTGCATATAACAAACCTGCTGGGTTACAGTAAATCAATCTCTGATTATTCTAACAATTTAGCCCTTTTCAGACATGGGATGTGTAACATTGCTGCTTCGTTTGTCTGGTAAAATAACAGCATTCTTTCAGTCAGACAAAGGTCACTTTAACATGAATGTTCCTTGTGGTTTCATTCAAACATACAACAAAGAAGGAGAGAGCTGCCGTGTGATTTTTGCCACAGATGTGAGATTAGATGATACATTAAATGTTGTATAACACATGATAATGTACTGAATGAACAAAAGATTAACTAAAAATTCAGAGCAAGGAACTAACAGCTCAGTTTATGATTTCCTAAACACTGAAAATGTCTGTGTGATGATAATCTAACTGAGCAGTAAAATAAGAATATCCAATAACACAGTGTCAATTAGATCCAATCAATCCTGTCTCCATGTCAAGGGTAACTTAGAATTATAAGTAATCAATGAAGTTACTGTTGTGTTGTGCATAAATGTGTGCATCTCTCCCACTTTGGAGATGCTCACATGGATCCTGCTGCTGTATGAGGCTGCAGGTATTTCATGAACTTAGAGGAACAGCTGAAAGCAAGAAAGCTAAACTTCAGCTGGATTTATTATTGCTGAATTTTACAGACATTTCAGTTTGTAATAGATGTGAATGAGAAGGTGTTTGGTGATTTTCAAACTGTGTTATTTTGTTTCTTTGGTGTTGAAATGTGGAAAAAGCCTTCTCACAATTAGAAGCACTGCTGTTTGTGTTCACCTACCTGGTAATAATAAAGTTAAGGCTTTTTGCCATTTTGAAAGTGACACACAAATGTTAGCAGGTTTGACCTGTTAAGATCGCTATCACAACTTTTAACGAAAAAAGAGCAGCGCACTTATTTGGATATGAAACTGACACGTTGAGATGCCGTCCGATCAACAGGAAGGAGCGCATGTCTGAAAGGGGCTTTTTGAGATCAAACTGTGAGTGTAAAACGCAGATGTTCACCTTTGAAGAAGCACTCAGAGTCTTGAAAGGTGACTCAGAGAGTGAGGCTGTTGTCTTTGTTGAGGACGACAGCTGTAGCCAGTAAACACACACCCAGTGGAGAGGTGAAATTTATTTGGATGGCGATGGCTCGGGATACAGCGTTGGTACAGTTTTGAACAGCAGGAGCTGGCTTTGCTGGCCGGCTACCAACTGCAATTAAAAAGAATATAAATTAGACAGCTTCTTTTCAAACTTTTAGCGTTATTAACCTCTGTGTCCGTCCTTGCACCCACTGCAGCCGACCTTACTTCTCCGATGATTGTATTGGTCTGCTATGTGGCTATAAAATGACAACAACAACAAACCAGGAGCAAATATGTTCACGCTGTGGATCATGCAGCAGAAGTTAACAAAATTAGCATCACCTGTGCTTTTCCTGCATCAACAACTCAAAATATCTGCTGTGAAAAATGTATTTCAGCTGAAACTCTGCCCCAGTGGACCTTTTCCACTGCAGGAGTTCTGACGCGTCGTCACAGCAAAAGCACAGGTGTATTTAATAACATCAGCGATGGCAGCGCTCCACTTAAGGGAGGTCCTGATATTCCACATGCCAGCTCGCTGAAATAGCTTCCTGTGACACTTAAGATGTTATTATTTACGCCTGAGCTTTTCCTGCGATGACGAGTCAAAACGCCTGCTGTGAAACAGGATGCTGCTTTGTTTCGAGAGTTACAACAAAAGAACACAACAACAATAACTGGTCCCCGTCCAGATACTTAATATTATAGCTCGACATTTGGTTAAAGCAGCTTATTCGCCTTCTTGCCAAGAATTTAATGAGAAAATTGATACAACTCTCATGTGTGTCCTTTGGTGAATTTGCCACAATGAGGCAGCCAACGGAGACTCCAGGAAGTCAAGAAATATTTCAGCACACAACCCCCCATAAAACCACAGCTTACTGTTTTTTTTTCCACATCAGTTTTTAGAAAGATTAATCAAATGGCATCAGGCAGAATGTCAGTCTGGAGTAAGAAAGCCGGATTTGTTCTGTGTCCTGTCTGACTTTGACCAATACTGACTTTGTAAGACTGATTTGTGTGCACATAGGAAATGTTTAAACTAGTCTAAGGAAGCCCAGGAGAAGAGAAACAGCTCCATATGAAGAAGAACTATAGCAATGGGACTGATGTTTACGTGAACAGCTCACCTGGGTTATTTATTTATTTATTTTTAATATATGGTTATAATTTAAGAACCATTTTGGATTATCTACCAGTACTTTAGATTTTGTGGAACAGCTTGTTATAAAACAAATAGCACTTTCTTTTTTTTTGTGACAAAATATTGCATATTAAGAAATGTTCTATTTGTTTTATTTTGTAGTATTGTGACACCAACTACGTATGATTCAAAACATCACCAGTTAAGTTCTGTATTGTCATTTTATTTGGTTCATGTGCAATGAAAGGATGAAGACTTTTTTCATATTTAGACTAACTTATATTTAGACATATTTTTAATCTACTCGTCCAGCATGGCAAATTCTGAATCAATGTTATGGCGACAAAATAACATTAAACATTTCAGGCTTTTAATTTCAATAGTTTCTGTTGTTCACACATAGCCTCAAATTCAGATGGAATGATCCACATGTGTTACAGGAAGACATGTTTTTGCAGTGTCTTGTAATCCTATGTGGCCAGATGACACAGAAATTAAACTAAAGCTCACAGAAATATGTGTTAGAAACTATAAAAAATATAAATTTCTTACAAACTGCTGCAAAAATACCATTAATCAACTGTTTTCTTGTACATTTCCCACAAAATTACCCATCACAAGTTCACACAAAATTGAATTAGCAAAATATGACCTTGCTGCAAATGTCCCAAAGGTTTGCTAGAAGCCTAAAATTCTTGCAAACTGTGGTAGTAAACCGCCAGTAATCATGTTTTCCAACAATTTTGTCATTATTGACAAAGTTTGTCACCGGTGACCCTCACTGGCAAACCTCTGACAAATGTTTTTGGTCTTTCCAGCACCTCACCTCCTTAGATCGAGCCAGACTAGCTCACCGTTTATTTCTTCCGGTCTTTATGCTAAGCTACGTTAGCTTCATATTAAACAGATATGAGAAGATGTTTTCACATGACTCCGCGTCAGAAAGCTAATAAGTGCATTTTCCAAACTGTCGAACAATTTCTTTAACAAGCTGCACGGTATCTTTGATGCGTCTCTTCATCTTATTTGGACATTCACAGCTCAACAAAGTGCGGATGGTCACTTTGTTGGTCAATGCTTTCATTTGATATGACGTCTATTACCCACACAGGGCTTTTGTGTGTGTTCCACAAACCGGTGAGTCGGACTCTTTAGGCCTGCAGTCAGGGTCAGTGACAGCCTCTTGATTAAGCGGAGCAGATACGTTCACCAAACATGTTTTGGGTTTTTTTTTTGTTCTGTCTGGTTAAGTCTGGAGCTACGATCACCCCAGCTAACCTGCTCTTATTCACGTCCCCATCGGATACATGCAAAATAGCACAAATTGAGAGAGTGGACTGCCCTCTCTCTTCCTTAATAAATTGATTTTCTGTAACAGTAGAATGGAGTATTTTTTGAATTTCCAACATACAAGGTTGTTTAAACATGCAGATGAGAGAGCTGGAGAAAATAACTTATTAAAAGCAACCCATAGCTGCCCTTCACTTTGTATCTCTACAAAAATGTACTGGCTGAAAAACCCACTTCAGGAGTTTCAGAGTGAAAATTATGACTTCTCAAGGTTCCTCTTTTTAAGAGGGTATTTTAGCCAGGCACTCAGATGCCTCTCTTTGAATGATTTTCCATCAAAAGAATTTTGTCTCTACCTTGAGGTACAATCAGTGCTTAATCTGTTCTGAGTCAGGCATTGGTTGCAGGAAAATGTTACTCTGTATGGCTTTCCAATTCACTGTGCTGCAGATAGCGTTTTAAAGTGCTTTTCTTTTCACTTTCCGAGTAGTTAAGATAAAATGGAGATGTAAATAACATCTGTGGTTAGATGTTGAAATATGAGGCTGAAATATGTAAACACAAAGACAAAAACGCAGAATCTTACGGAAATAGTTCTATCTGCCAAGCTAGTATTCAGTTTTTCTGCTATTTCGCTCTAAGTCTCCGCTGATCGTGTGCTCCTGCTGCTTGATAACATTCAGCCACACGGCCTCATAGTTAACCTTTTGCTATCTTGGTTTCTCGCCACACTGCATGGCTAGTTTGCAGAAATTTAATCTCTTACTTAGCTCAGTGCTATCGATCAACATCAATGCCGCTCAGTGTTCTGTCTTTGCACATATTTAATTGTGCAGATTCTCCACCTACTTGCAGTCTGAATTACAGCAAACAAGACTCGGATTCTGCAGTCCTGGTAGCAGATTTATACCAAAGTTCTTACAGGAAGTTTCAGCACTCAAGGATAATAAAAATAGCCCCCTATCTAAATGAAAGAGGAGGAAGTCATAACTGCAATTTCAGTGGTCACTAGGTCATATATATACAATCACTGGTCCAATCTGATGAAGAGTTTGATGACTTTAAACCAAAATAAGGTTTAAAAAGCGTTTTTTTTCCCACGTTCTACTCCACATATGCATAGCTTTATGACACCATGCAACACATAATTGGCTGGATGTCTCCTGGTTCAGCTGATTCCGAGAGTATATTCAGAATTATTTAAGTAGAAAGTCTGTCCCTTATCATGTCTCTGGCTGTTTTCACTGTCTTAGTTCAGTGTGTTAACAGTTGCTACATCTGAGGCTGATAGGAGTGTGATAAGTTTTGTATGTGTGGTCAAAAACCGGTGCTGGATAAGTTTGACCTCAAAAAGACCCAAAAACAATTCATCCTGAAAGCCACGTGTGTTTTATGACAATCTTTCCAACAGTTGTTCACTTCAAGCCACAAATTTCAGAGGAGAAGTCAGGAGCACACCACCACAGTCACAAGGATTTATTCTGCGCTTATTATGAATGTTTGTATAAAATTTGATGCCAATCCATCCAACAGTTGTGGAGATATTTTAGCTTGGGTCACAGTGGTGAACCAACATCGTCTTCCCAAGCTGGCCGTGCAGCTAACTTGGCTAAGTCTGACAGTCTGGCAACAAAAAAGTGTGATCGGATTTCGATTATAAAGTTGCTAAACAGTAATTGGTGCATGGATATGTGTCTTCCCAGCATGAAGCAAGAAGAAAGCTAAAATCTTGCTGTTTTTCTGTTATGTTAGGATCAAATAAGAAGCCTGAGGAAACTTTTAAAGCACAAATTAATTACAGATTCTGATTAAAAACGTGTGAAACAAACAGATAATGAAGTGTGAAGCTAACAAATACACTTGTTATTCTGAGGTTGAGTGTGTGGTTAATATGTGCTCTGTGTTTGGACTTTCAGTGGCATCGCACGCCCACCACCCAGGAGACGGACGGCTTCCAGGTGAAGCGGCCGGGAGACGTGAGCGTCCGCTGCACTCTGCTGCTGATGCTGGACTACCAGGTGAGGGCGCCGCGCCGTCTAACGCGCTCCAGAAATAGACTCTCCTCTGTTACGACTGTGTGACTGATCCCCGCCATGAAATCAGCTGTAGTAGTGACAACCTGCAGGCCTCACAAAGCTGATAACCGCCAGCCTACAGGAACATTACGGTGCATTTAAGACTCCATTTCAAACCTGACATCCGTTTCCGAGCCGGGGGGAATGTGATAAGGCTGTGAGATGTGATCCAGCTGATGTAAAGAGTCTGATGTGGGCGGTCGTAAAAAGTGTGGTAATGCGATTATGTCGTCTCCGCAGCCTCCCCAGTTTAAGCTGGACCCTCGCCTGGCTCGCCTGCTTGGCATTCACACTCAGACTCGCTCCTGCATCATTCAGGCCCTCTGGCAGTACGTGAAGACCAACAAGCTGCAGGACTCCCATGACAAGGAGTACATCAACTGTGACAAGTACTTCCAGCAGGTGTGGGACTCTCTGTGTGCTACAAATAGTTGCTGACAAATTTACTGGTACAACCTGAGCAATATGAAAAAAATCTGTCTTGTACTACAGTCATGTGTTTTTTGGGATCAGCATATTGTGGCTTTAAAGGTATTTAACATGAACATCACCCTTAATGCAGATTTTCGACTGCCCTCGACTGAAGTTCTCTGAGATCCCTCAGCGCCTCACCAACCTCCTCCTGCCCCCCGACCCCATCGTCATCAACCATGTTATCAGGTAGAGTTTCTCTTTTAAGCCTTGGAGCGTTTTTTTGTTCCTGTTACATTTTTATTCATTGTTGGCTCATTTTTCACTCCAACATAAAGTCCTGCACCTCTCTGGAAACAGCACAGCCACAGCTACAGTCAGAGAGAATTCAAAAAGATGTTGTGTGCAGTATGAGAAGCTTATAATGCCGTCAGTCATAAAAAGAGAAAAAACTAACGTTGAACTTCTTTATTTGTTTTCTAAAAACTGAAGCAAAACTGCAATTAATACATACAGTGTTTATCCAAGTGCTCACAGGTGATACTAAAACAGGAAAACAAAATGGTGACTCTACATACTACGATAATACAATATATATAATATAATATGACAATATTTGACTATATGCATTTATAATTTGTCGTTTCTATATTCTGTATGCTCTCTGCTTTTTTCACGGCCTGCAGTTCAGCTGAATTGGGTTCCTGAGTGTTGTTGGCAGCTTGGAAAGTTGAATATCCGATTAGTTGTTGTATTTTTTCTCGCTCATATAAAATGTAATGAAATGTTAGCAATTAAAAAAAACAAACAAAACATGCCTTTCAAACTCACTGGTCAGCACATAAGGCAATAGGCAGCACAACAACGAGCTACAGATAAGTGCTTGTATTTCATGTTTTAAAACCGCGCATTTGAAGAAAAAAGTGCTGTTTTCCAAAAGATAATAGCTTTGTACAGTGGAGTTTTGTTTACTTTGAAACTGTTTCTTCAAGCTTTTTTATCATACAAAATGATGTGCTTCGTTATTAACATAATACAGAATGTTTTAAGACCAAACAAAATTATTATTATAGAATTGAAACCACTACATACTAGTATTGTCTGTCGGTTGGTAGATTGTATTATTTAGGACACAAAAGAAACCAATCAAGAAAAGAAACATCAAATCAGGACACACATTCAGTGGCTTTCATGCACCAATTGATGATTTTCCTTAAAGGATTTATCAGAAGTTCCCTCTCTGTGTTCTGAAATAATAATAATCAACATTTTTGTATGGCACCAACATTACTAAGTGCTTCCCAATAAAGACATACAACTAAGGTAATAAAAAAAACAGAAGTGAACATATAAGCTAGATTGAAAAATTTAAGTTAATACAACAGCTGCTTTTCATTAAGAAAAAAAAGACAATCCTGAGTTTCTGTTTTCAGTTTTAATGACTGATATAAGAATGTCTCTTGAGCTGCTTCAGCACAAGTTAACGTTTCACCGTTTGTTTTTTTTGTTTTTTTTGTCAATGACTAATTTTCTGTTTCTTTCTTTCCAATCTCGCCCGTCCTCCAGCGTGGACCCCAACGACCAGAAGAAGACGGCCTGCTACGACATCGACGTGGAGGTCGAAGACCCTCTGAAGAGCCAGATGAGCAGCTTCCTCCTCTCCACCGCCAACCAGCAGGAAATTGCTTCACTCGACAACAAGGTGTGATCACCATCATCACCGAGGACGCTCTCTCAATTGATTCTATCTTTCTATCGGCTTGGTCCGTGTCACACCGCGGTGATAAAACAGCTAATTTTACTGTGTGTTATTCAATAAAGGAGCATTTTTATTGCGATAGTTCGCTCGAGGTGGATTTCACACCTGACTGTGTTAAATGTCGGAGCCGTTAATGTTTTAGCAAGATTTATGTTTCACAGACTCGTTTTAACTTTTCAACTGACATTGTTGCAGTGGCTGAGCAGGAAGGAAGGGCGGGACAAAAAAACAGCAGAAATACATTCTGCTGTGATGCTAAATACAAACACTGACCACACACCTGCGTTTTTCATGCGTGGACACAGAGCTTTCTCGCTCTACTCAGGTTTTTTTTTCTCCAGCCGATCAACATTTTGGCCATTTTACGTTTGCGTACGTGACACGCTGTTTGTCTGATTTATCTTTACTTAGAAGCCCACACGCACAACGTTCACGGTGCGAGACGGTAAAATCTAATCGTCAACTTCATCTCTGTAAATGTCACTTACGCTGGCAGGGTTCAGGGTGTTCACCAAATTAAATTCAGACCTTTATAATCTTGTCTCCTATCTGCTCTGTAAAAACACAGCCTGCACTTCAGCTGAAAAGTCCCTGAATTTGTGTCACGTTACTGCTGGTCACAGATGAGTCACGGATGTCTTCACGGTTACACCGAGGAGCACAGAATCTGGTTCATGTTAATGGTACAGGTTTAGCCACTTTTTAAATAAAATAAAAAGGAAATATGTTTTCTGATGGAACAGCACATCACAGATCAGTAGTTCAAGGACTGCTTCAATCCAATGATTCTCTTTGATTTTACAGTTTCTGGTTCTGATAAATAGTGTCATTTGGTGCTTTTTTTTTTTTTAGAGACAATGTGCCTTTTAAACCCACTGGTGGGCTTTGGGGTTCAGAGGATAAATCATTTTAGAAAGTATCTAGAGGGAGAGACCACATGGATTCTAAAGCCCAGAGCAGTGAGTTTGACTCCCAGCTGGATTTGCTGCCTGTCATTCATCTACTTGCTGACCTGGTTCTCTCGACTAACAAAGAAAGGCACAAAATGATAAAAATGAATCGGCATGCTCGTGTTTTAACCCCTTAGTAAGTACTCTGACCACACCATCTTCAACCTCGGCCTTCATTTTGATCTCAACTACGCACTTGTAAGGTTTCATGACTGCGTCTTTCACACAGACCTAGACCCTTTTGCTGTGGTGACAAACACGAACAGACTCACAAGTTTATTATAATACCAGCTTTTGCAGCTGGAAAAAATATTAAAGACCTTTAAAATTAAAATTCAACACTTCTCAATAACTTCTGACACCTTTTTATGAGGGAACTGTGTTGTTTTTTTTGTTTTTTTTAAGTTGCAGCACATAAACACAGAGCTATGATTTAGTTTAGAGAATATTTTGCCGTCGTAGAGGCTTATTGCATTTTCCTCCACTGTCACTTGTGCCGTCTTTAAAAAATGACAGTGCGGTAAATTGCATATTGTGGAGATACTTGTTTTACGGCAAATGTTGTTTATTGCCGGCAACATATCAATCATATTGTTATTTAGAGAAGTTAGTGTCTTGCTTAAGGCTGCTGGTGAGGACATTATCTGTCTCCGAGAGCTGGTTAGGACTCGTCTTTTTGTTCATTGATCTACCAAAGTCATCTTTCCTGAGCTGGCTTCCTTCTGCTGTTGCACAAAGTCACTGTTTTCATGAGATAGTGTGTGTTTGTGTTTGTAAATACAAAAAAAACAACTATAGTGGTTTTATTTCATTCATTTTTTTGAACTGCATTGTCGTTTTTTTCCCAGATCCATGAGACCATCGAGTCCATCAACCAGCTGAAGATCCAGAGGGACTTCATGCTCAGTTTCTCCAGAGATCCCAAGGGCTACATCCAGGACTGGCTCAAATCCCAGAGCCGAGACCTTAAGGTTCGATACGACTATTTATATGCACATTCCTCTGATTTCCTAAAGTCCACATGAAACACCATTTCCTTTACATTATGTGGAGAACATCCTCTGCACGCCGGATGGAGTGGAAACTAAAATGCAGCATGAGCGTAAATGGAGGGAGCAGATGATGACATTTTTATTACACGTCTGGGTATAACATAAAGTAACCAAACATGCACTAATTTATTGTAATTACTGCTTAGCGGCATATTCAAAAAGAAAAGAGCCGAGCCACGTGCCAAACTAGCGCCCCCCAGAGGCTACAATATGATCAACTAACATTGTCATTTCTTGCTGCAATTTATAAACTACAATTTGTTTATTAAGCAAATAAAATATGCATGAATTCCTGAAAAGAAACTGCATCCACAGCCAACACACTCGATGTGTGTTAGTGATTGTGCTTCCTGTCTGGCTGCAGTTAATGACAGACGTAGTGGGGAACCCTGAAGAGGAGAGGAGGGCGGCGTTTTACCACGAACCCTGGTCCCAGGAGGCCGTCAGCCGCTATTTCTACTGCAAGGTGACAAACTGGGGCCCCTCGCTGTCTTCTACACTCACTTCGCAACTTCCTCTGCTTCTACATGTCCACGTGATAATATTTTTTTTACCCTCTCCTCTCCCCATCACAGATCCAGCAGAGGAGACAGGAGCTGGAACAGGCCTTAGCGGTCCGCAACACCTAAAGGCCCTCCTGAATTTCTGCATCCGATTTCAGAGCCGTGTGTGTGTGTGTGTTTGGATGTGTGTGTGAGGCCGTCAGTGGTGAAGTCTGGTGAAACCTCTAAACTAATACAGCAGTGTGAAAAAGTAAGAAGCTGTTGGCTTTTTTGACATATTTGGAAAAGCAAGCATTTGGTCCTCGATGATCCAATAGATAAAGATGATATACTCAACTAATTACACATAAAACTGATATTTTTAGTCAATTTCATAATTTCAGTGAATCAAATACACCTTCAAATCAATCAAATTAGAAGCAGGGGTTCCAGATCAGGTTCCAGTAACTTATATTTCGAGAGCTTTAAAAACGTCTTCAAATGATTTTAAATGAATCGTTCCACTGTAACAAAAACCATCCACAGTTTGCACAGATTTCCAAAGACTGACAGTTTGTCCTGGACTGTGCACCCCAGAAAGTTCAGCCCTAGAACAGAGCGTTTAATGCAAAAAGAAGAAGTGTCATCACAGGATCTGCAGGTAAATCTGTTGATGTCAAAGTGCTGCGTCTACAATCAGACGGAGATTACACAAATTTGACCTGCAGGGGAGGCAGGCCGTGAAAAAAAGCCATCCAAGAAGAGCATTAGAGCAGAAATACATTTTGCCAGTGAAGATAGAGGCAAAGATCAGGCTTTCTGGAGTAACGTGGACAGATGGATCAAAGACAGCGTTATCACAGTAACCGTAGACATGTTTTATGGAGACCAAAGACAGCTTTTTCATGAGAAGAACCTCATACCAGTTCTAAAGCATACTGATGCTGGTTTGGGTTTGCTTCAGGAACTGGACAACTTGTGAATTCTGCCTCATATCCAAAAAAAAAATACTCAAACATAAAATGAAACCTCAATGAAACCTTTCAACAGGATAACACTATAACAAATCCACCAAGAAATATCCTAAAAAGAAGAAATGGAGGGTTGTGGAATAGCCAAATCAAAGCTCACATTTAAATCCCATTGAAATGCTGCAGGGGGGATTTGAAGCAGGCGAGAAAACCCTCAAACATCTCACAACTGAAGGCAGACTGGTGGGCAATTAGACAAAACAAAAGGTTATTTCTGCTAAAAGGGGGCGAAACTAGCCTCTGGTGCCACGGGTGTACTTACTTTTTACCATGAAGCAATATTACATATGATATTTGATGATTAAGCTGATTCAAGTATATCCACATTTATCTATAGACACAGTTATGTCAAGAAAAGCCAACAACTTCAGTTTACTTTTTCACATGACTGTATTGAGTAAAGCTACCAAACTCCACTGAGCAGGTTTTCCCGTGACAGCAGCTATCAGCATGAATGAAGGTCCGGTCTGGATGCACATATGCGTCCACTGGGTATTTGTCTCCTCTGGTGCAGGACTGTTAAGACGTCAGAAGCATGTTTTCAGTCGATCCTACTTCCTGCTTTGTAAATACGTCACTAGAAAACTCCTTCTCTGCAACTCTCGACCGGCTGCTCACACACACACTCACACACACACGCCGCTGTGTTTTCTCATCTCAAAGCAGACAGAAATGTCATTTCTCGCGGCGCTCTGGATGAGTCTTTACATTTTCTGTTCTCCAAATATGTTTTTTTTTTTTTATTATCGGGGTTGGGTGGGGGTGTGATTCTAAGCGTGGCTGTGTGTGTTTTTATTTGTTCTCATTAGGAGAGTGTTTCTGAAAGGTTGATTAATTACACCAGCAACGTGGAGATTACAGCGCGACACATGGGGTGGCTGCAGAGGATCTCTAAACCCAGAGGGGGTGGGACTCCGTTCAACCTCCAGTGTGTTTCGTTCAACATGAAAAAAAAAAGAAAAACTCTTTTAACAGTATTAGTTACCTGGACTTGAAGTGTTATCAGCTCCGTGTCTGTTTATAGTGTTCGAATGAAGGAGTAAAACAAGTATCGATCGTCATGGAAAACAGCTTTTCTTCCATTAATCATAGCAAAACAACGACCGCGTCGGGCCTTGTCGACTGATTTTCTTCTGTCAAAGTCACTCACTGCCTCTTTCTCGTGTAGTCTTTTGCCAGTTAATGTCCTGAAGGTGTTACCAAAGGTTGCAACAAAGAAGAAGAGAACATGATCACTGAAATGGAAGCGGGCAAAGATCCAGACCTGGGTTTAAATTGCAAAAATGCCCTTTTCAGATGAATCTGAACCGTAGCTTCAGAGACAAAATTGCTTTTCTTAACCCCTAAAACTGTTATTCCAATGACGTATTAAGCCCAGGTCTGTGGGGTTTTTGTCCATTTCTGTGATTTTTTTTTTTTTTTTTACGTTACACAAAAAAAAGAAAAATGAAGTTGTTTTTTTTTTTCTTTTCTAGAGATGTGAATGTAAATATGTTTTGTTCCCCATAAGAGGGCCAACTGTACAGTATACGACAGACTATCTGTGTGTGTTTGTTTTGGGGGGATTCGGGGAGGCGGGGTGGGCCAGTTACATGTTGCAGTATGGGAGCTCCATGAGTTTTGGATTAGTAGGGCAGGAATGTTAGTGTTCTTCTGTGTGCTATCTTGGGTCAGGGTGATTTATTTTAGGTCCATCCCATGTCTATCGTGGGAGCTGGAAGCTGCAACAAAGAGAGACCTCCCTCACTTTCAGTCTCAGTAGCTGTAACACATGATATAATCTGCACCGATCTCATTTTACACCTTTTTTTAAAATGACACTTGACTTGTATGTATATGTTGTTCTGTCAGATGGAGGATTTTTTTTTTTTTCTCTGCAGTTTCTAGATGGAACCTTTTCGGGGTTTCTTTGCACTGTGCTGTAACTCTTTTGTCGGGACTCTCTTCATCACGGGTGAGACCCTCTTTATTATCCCAGCATACACGAAAAGTGATTGGACGTTTTCACGATGACCTATGCATGCTCCATGGACATTAAGTAATACATCCGATGGGACAGTCTGTGTAAATATACGAAGCTGGCATAAGCAGTCCGTGTGGCGAGACTCGTCACATTTGTCGAAATGCCTTCTGGAAACTTTTTTGCCAAAAATGACATGCCCTACCAGCAACTAACTGTAGGTGTGATTTTTTCTGAGCTGTGTTTTTGTTACTAGGACGAAGTTATATTAACTGCACTCTGTAGAGGAGAAACAGTAGTCATAGGTAGTATCTCGGTCCTGTGTCTGACCCGGAGTGATTTTTCTTTGTATGGCCAGGGCATTCAGATTGTTGTCGCCGATTCACTACCACCCTCTTGTGGAGGAAACTAGAAGCTGCAGCTCCTCAGCTTTGAGCAGCACAACATCAGAATAACCTGACAAGATGTTAACAAACTACTGTGTCTTCTGTTACTAAACCCTGGCATACTGTTGACATGTTTGTCCCGAACCCTGCATGTGTTTCTGAAGAGTGGGAGCTGCTCTTTCTCTCTGTTTACACTGTTGTCAGAGGGTCACCGACAGGAAGATTATAGTATACATAATACTGTGTATCTGTAAAGAGCAAAAACTTGTTGGGTGATTACATTCTGCAGAAAAAGGGAAAAGAGCTGTGACACTGCGAGACAGCCTGGATGTAAATAAAGAAGCGCTTGCCAAAGTTTGTAAATGCCATGACATCTAAAGTGTCTTTTTTTTTCACCTTCATGACACCGTGGTTGTGTGCCAACACTGGATCAGCTCCTTCTACAGGAGCTTGATGTGATTTGAAGGCTTTTGTGCTTTGCTGCAAAAATTTACATATTAATGTGTTAAACTGAGCCTCTTAAAGCTACACAACTTTGAACAGCTTTACACAGACCTATAGCTAAACTGTATATGGACACACAGGAATTAAAGAGCTCACATTATGCACATTCATTTATTTAAAATTGTAGTTTTGGGCTCTACTAGAATGTGTTCACATATTGATTGATTTCTAATGTTCAAACAGAACTTTGCTGTATCACCTCTTCTCAGCCCGTTTGAAGTGCAGATTTTGGCTCCTGTCTCTTTAAACGGCCCAGCTGGCCAGCAACAGCAAGGCAATGCTGGTTACGTACTGTAATCCCTAATCTTTCTGTATATAAAACCTAGACGTAGCGACTGCAGTGTCACTAGTTGGTTTGTGGGCTGCTGTTTTGAAATCTCAAGTTTGGCATTTGACAGCTTGGTCTTTAAAAACCAGACATAAGCAAGGGATGGATCTTAACACTGCCTTAAAATATACAATGTTTTGTCATTTATTTTACTCTAAATTGGACCATAATTTACAAAATAAACACCTGATGACTGAAAGGAGACGTAAAACTAGCAATTGTGACCATAAACGCTTTAGTAAAATGTTAACTGAGGTAACAAATCAAGCAGGAAGTCGGGTGATTTTCTCATAAGCTTCTATACAATCGGACCAGAGACGTCGCCCCCTGCTGGCCATCAGAAAGGAAGCAGGTCTAAGGCACTTCTGCGCTAGCTTCACTTTTAGAGCTCAGAGGCCACATCCATCTTTTACACACAGTCTATGGTACAGGGATGTGGCTCTCACAGAAGCGACTCTAGCGAGGACATAATGGCGAACACTGAGTCAGCAGCTCATTGTTTGTTCGAGGTAGCTGCAGACTCGCCGCTTAGCAGGTGTTGTGAACATGTGTTGTATGGAGTAATGGAACAAAAGGACTTCTTGTGCACGTATGGAACAGAGTCCAACAAGGTAAAATTAGTGAAATATCAATAGCTATTCATCTGTGGTGTGAACTTTTAGGTTTGCAGACCTTTAAAATGCACAAAAAAACACCGACACGACTCACTGAAGAAAAGGCAAAAGCCCAAAAAGCATAATATGGGCTCTTTAAGGCAAGACATTTGGTCGTTCTGTTAGTTGAAGAAGGTTGTATTGTGGTTTTTGTTTGTTTTTAAATCCACAAAGCGAAGAAAACTAAAAGTGACCCTGCTCTTAGAATTTACTATATTAAAATATTGTTTGACAAACTTAGAGATCACACACCTAACGAAGCTAACTTTGTGTATTATCACCATTTTTGTTTAGCTTCTTCCATATTTTCTTAATTCAGATCAATACCCTTAACAGCACCCTGATTCCAAGGCCTAAAATACACTTCTGATCCCCGAATAAGCGCATATGTTTGATTTTTCTCAATTTCAATCAGGATTTAAAATGTCTGCTGTGAAATCTCTGCAAACTTCAGCTAATAAATATTTTAGGCAATAAATTATGAATCATTCTGCTTCAAAAATCCAATTATATCTCTGAACTGCTTAATAATAGTCCAAAAAAAAGGTGCAATTCTGAGCTTGATGTAGCCACAGCGCTGCTACATACATTATTTAAGCCTTGCTCTCTGCACGGCAGGCTAATTGTTTACTGCGTGAGCTGATGTGACATTACGAGGCATTGGGAAAGGCGTTTCTTTTCACCCCTGCAATCAAAACATCGTATTCTTGCCATGTGGTCACGGGGAGCCCAGTCTACATGACCTCCATAATTATGGCTATCATCAAATGCACACTCTCCTACTTCTGAGTCGACTTTCATGATATCATAAATGTTCCCTCAGATTGCTGCTTTTAGCTGTGGAATCATGAAAATCACCCTTCACTGACAAAACACCCTAAATTTTGCGAGCACGTGTGGATTCCTGCGTTCTTCAGAGGCGGCACACAGGCATTTTATTGTTCGCTGACCTCACCACGAGGAAGCAGGTGGAGGCCTTTCCACTGCGAGTCTCGGCAGCGCTGCGACGCTGACTGCAGCCCCGCTCCCACCTCAGAAAGAGCCTCTTTCACTCTGCTGCTGCGCTATTCTCCCGAGCCGACCACCCTCACATGGAGGCGTTTTGTGGGTGAGGGAGGTTAAGGTGGATGCAATAGTCTCACCCCTTCAGCGAGGAGGAGGAAGGGGAGGAGGCAGCGTGAAGCGAGCCATTCAGCCTGATGAAGGTAAACCACCCATACCACGGCGGACCTCGCCTAGGTAGACACGACCCTCCCTCTTGGCACTGGGTTCACTTCTCTCCCCAAAGACACATGTGTACAGAAAACTGAGGGAGGCCCGGGCAGGGGTGGAGATTTACTGACTTAATGCGAGGAGACGAGGCGGGGCAGGCTGCTTCGGAACAAACTGTTCACTGCCTCCAGGCGCTGCAGTAAAGCTTTTAGGCAAACTGAGAAGACTGCAAGATGTATGACTGTGAATGTGAGCACGCTGTCATTACTGACCACAAAATGTTTCTGCCATATTGCCTTTTCTTCAGCTCTGCCAAGCAGATAACAGATACCTCCAGGAATAACTGCCCGAGCATGCTGCATGCAGATCCTGTAAACAGTTGCCTTTTGTCTAATGAGACTGAAACGAGCGCTTTTACACACTCTCAGCAGTATGAATGAAGAAGCGACTCTGAGCGGAAATATCACTCTTTAATACCTCTTAAAAAGAACATATCTTAAAGAAAAGGCAGCCAATGGCTTCAGCTTGTCTCCAGTATTATTTTAAACATCTCCACAAAGGAAGACTTATGGCTCAACTTATTTTTCTCAGTTAATTATTAACAATGAAGGCCTTTGTTTATTTATTACTTCAACACACATCCTCCTATATTTCTTTGAGTATAAATATTGTTGCTCGCCTCCTCTGAGAATGCGGCAGGAATACAAGTGAGAGCTCCTCAGTAGGTCCGTTCAGGGAGCTGTGCAAAGTGACACCTCCATGACTCACAATTCATCACCGTCTAGACAGATTTAAAGTTATAGACTCGTAAGTCAGAAGTTTTCCTGCTCGGTACCAAGCAGAGAGACTTCCAGCTGCAGGATACAACTTTAAGCTGAGGTATCAGCACTCATTTGCTTTGCTGAAGAGTCCTTGAGCAAAACGGTGCTGCTTTGTTAGCTGATCCTGACCTTTTTCCACCCTGTAAAAGGATGAGAGCTTCAGTACATGGTTGAAAAAGTTAAAATTCACCTTTTCCTGCCTCAGTATCCATTAGTCCGGGGCAGGATGTGTGAGGTCCCAGCGCTCTCTGGTACAGTCCAGGCTTCTATGTGCTGTTGGCCTGCTCCTGCTCAAACAGAGCCATTGCTAGATGCGAGCGTGACCCCAGACCCTCCAGGTTGCTGAGGACACAGCGGTGGTAGATATCCTCACTGAAGCGTGGGTTGCATGTTCGCCGCACGTATTTCTGGATCAGCGCCGGCTCTACCGCTCTGAACACGTGCAGGCCTGAGTACCGGACAAAGATGTCATACACGTCCATGCTCTCCAGCAGCTCCTCGTTGTCCAAGATGTCCGCCGCCATCTTGGTCCGTGCGGTCATGTAGTCTGCGTTGTAAAAGCAAGCCTCGTCAAAGACGTGCCGGTCGAAGTGGCCGTCTCGTAGCGACTCAGAAGCAAAAGAGGAGGAGGCGGCAGAGGGCTGCTGGTCGCGGTACACGACAGCAGGGCTGTACTCCTGGAAGTGGATGGGGAAGAAGACTTGCCAGTTGCTGATGGCGTTCATTCTGCAGCGGTTCAGGAAGTCAGCGTTGACCTCTGTCCAAACGCTTGCCAGGAAAAAGAGGGTGTCCACAGGGTGCTTCTTAGAGATGATGTCCATCAGCTTGACCTGTGAGGGCACCTCAGTCTTCACACTAATCCAGGGGATCTTCACGTCTCCGTAGCGCTTCTCCACTTCCCCGATCATAGCCTTGATGCTAGCGAACACATCAGTCTGGCTGACTCGCTGTGCATCGAAGGGATCGTAGATGAACAAGAAGGTCAATAAAACATTGTCATGGGTGTCCAGAGTGTTCATCACGTACATGTCGAGGAAGTTCCCAACGTAGTCCTGATCCTGGGCCGTGACTGGTAGGATGACCTGCACCCGTGTTGCCTCTGTCACGTACGGCATGGGGATAATCTCAACTGCACTTAGAGGTCGCAGCAGGTTGACCCGTTTAGCAATGACCTGGCTGTGGCCCTTCTGGGTGTAGGCCTCCAGCGCCAGGTCCAGCATGTACTCCATACCTCGCGTGGGATCGAAGCGGCGATAGCCGTTAAGTAGACGTCGCTTACGGAAGCGTAGCTGCGGCTGGTAGCGCTCGTTGAGACGCTCGACTGCGATCTCTAGGATTGCGTTCACGTCGGCACGGTCAGCCCCTCTCATCTCGCACTTTGGGGAGCTGTCGACGCAGGAGTAAATATGCTCTTCTGTAAAGTACTCCCAGTTTATGACCTCAAAACGGGTCCTGGGTTTGAAGGGAGGGTTGATTCCTATCGGCCAGGTGACCCCGGCTTTACCCTCTGGAGTGAGGTCGCTCAGGTTGTTGATCTGCGTCTGAGGAGAACACGCAGAAAATTTGTCAGATATAAAACCAAAACCAACGAGGAAGTAAACTGCGTAAAGACATGTCTCTGTGGTGTAAAGTTATATTTACTGTCGAGTCAGAACAGCTGTAATCCACTATCATTAGCAGGTTCTTCAACGACATAATAAGACTTCTCCAGCAGATCATATTCAGAATTAGATGACACTGGAATGTAACACTTCATGTCTGAGCAAAACACTCTATCCTCTGGCTGCCTGACATGCATAAATATTGTATCAGACAGGAATTTCTGCCTTGGCTCTAAAGGAGGTGTGGTGGTGAAACTGCACACTGTATGCTTTCACATACAACTAATCCCATCAGATATGACTCACACAGAAAAACTTTTAGTTGTTTATAGGTGTGAAAAACCCCCTGTAACGTCATACTAACCTGCAGCTGCTGGATCTGCAGATAGGTCCATTCCAGCTCAATCTGACTGAAGCGTTTGTGTAGGCGGTACATGAGATTAGGTTCAGATACAGGATGAACTGTGAAGGCATTTTTAAACGGTGCGCTATCTTCACGCTCCGGATCTGCGTTTTTGCCGAGCTCAAAGTATCTGTAGGTCATTTCCTGTGAGTCATACAAACATCGATAAAGAAAAGACACATTAGCATCGTGAACAGTCCTGGATAAACTGTATAAAAAGTGCTTTAAATTGCTAAAGATATTGCTCTTCTGTGTGTTTTTTTTTTTTTTTTACCTGGTGCACCTCCACACAACTGAGACCCAGGTAGTCAATAATGCAGCGGCCCAGCCACTCATCAGGTCTCACGCTGAGGATGTCGTTTCGGCAGGTGTCAAGGTGAGGCTGCAGGCGGCCCAGCAGACTGCGAGACAGCAGGTAGCCGTAACCCCCGTGGCAGTAGCGTGCTTTCTCCTCCCCACCAATAAACTCCTCCGCCCTGCCCATGTACAGGTCCTGACCTGCGCTCAAGTGGCCCACCAGCTCCGACAGACGATCCGCCTGCATGTAAGTGTCGTCCTGGGCTAAGAGGAACCAGTCGTAGTCCGAGCCGTAGTGCTGATGGAGGTGCCGCACCGTTTCGTACATCAGCCACACCGGCCGGTCATCACCGTGGGCGACCACGCTCATGCCGTGAGGGACCTTCGGGCTGCGCAGGCCTGTGAAGAAGAAGGTGCGGTGGAAGTGGTGGGCGACGGTGCGGTTCACCGCCACGGCCAGCGTGTTGAGGGTGGCCCGAGAGGTCAGCACGCCCACCAAGAGTCGCTCTCTGATGCCCAGTTCAGTGTGGATGTATCGAGTTCTAGAGGAAAAAGAGGAAGTCACAAATGAGAACATCAAAACAAAATGATGTAAAAACAAATGTAGCAAATAAAGCACGCTGATTATGTGAATCTTCTTCCAGTCAAAAATGAGCAATCACGGAAAACAATGGATGAAATCTTTTACGTCAGCAGGTCTGGTGTTGACTTCTGAGCTACTGAAGGGATTTGGCAGATAGAATCTCTACTCTATTGGCCACCTATACTTTACATCCCACTCAGTGCATTTAGATTATTGCAGAGGAGGAATAAGCCTATTAAACAGAGAATTAACAAACGTAAATACCCTTGATTTAAATCGTCTCTAGTTTCTTAAGACAAATCTGATTAGACATCAAGTAATATGACGCGTGTCTAAATCTGTCATTTAATTTACAGAAAAAACAGTCAGTTGTTGCACGTGTTTGTCTTCACTGAAATCCTCTTCAGTAAAGTCCTAAAAATTCATGATTATATTAACTGTCGATTGTTGAGTAGTTGTTTGGTCTATAAAATGTCAGAAAATTGTGAAAAATGTCGATCATGGTGTGTTGAAACCCAAGATGACGCGTCTGGTTTTGTCTACAACCCACAGATGTTCAGTTAACTGTCGTAGGAGAGTAAAGAAAATAGAAAAAAAATCACATTTAACAAGCTGGAAAAAGAGAACTTTCACTTTATCCTTGGAAAATGACTCGAAATGATCAACCAAATAGCTTGCGATTAGTTTAATAGTTGACAAACAGTCAAATAAACAGTCATGCTTCTGATAGATTTAAAGAGCCTATCCGTGGACATTGGCGTAATATGATCAGTCGCAAAGACATCCCATCAAGACCCACCTGAGGACTTTCTTGTGTGGCTTGTTTGGGTCCTTGTGATAGGGCACAATCCGTGGCTGGAAATCCTCATCTCCAGCTCCATCTCTTGAGTCTCTCTGGGCGTCCCGTCTGCCCATGAACAGCCTGCCATTGCCCAGTTCATCCCTACAGGAGTCATCTGTGTCCCCCTGAGTCCAGGACACCATGAGGAGGCTGAGACTGCAGCCCAGAGACAGCCCCAGGATCAGGGGTAAAGCAGGCCTGAACAGGGCCAGGAACGAGGACAGACGCATATCTGGCAGTTGTGAGCTACACTTAATGAGGCTGTCGTGGAAAAAAAAAAAAGAGAGACTACCTACAGAGGTTTTACTAGCCAACACTGCTGCCCTAGTTTAACACATGTTCACCACAAATGAACCAGTCTCAGTGGACATTGATTTGGTAAAACTAACCCAAAAAAATTGCCTTAAATATCACCAGCTTTCCTCAGCATCATCCAGTGAGGTAGTAAAGTTGATTATCTGCATTTGAAGCGAAGATTAGATGTGAACAATACCTACTACAGCACTTTTTATACAGTTTTATCTGTAACGTCATAACTGAAGATGCTCAAATTGTAAAGCTACCGGTGAGAACTACTTTGTTCCTCTGAAAGAACAAATAAATGCCAACAGCTTAGCATCATTACTGCGACTTACCCGCTGTCTGTCAACCTCAGCGGCTCCTGTTAGTTATTGTCACGTAAAAGTGTGAAACGTTACTCCCCTTTTTTTTTTGCTAACGTTATGTTAATTAGCTTAACTAATTTCGGCTAGCTAAACAGCTACTTCCAAAGTCAGCTAACTAACGTAGCTACACGCTAAACGTCACCCGGTAAAGTTGACGGTTCGAGTTAAGCTGGTTAGTGAGTGGTGAAAAAAAATCGAAGCGAGACGACTCAAAAGTTTTGAATCGGAAATTAGCACGGTTGTCTGTCGGAGGAACAAACATCAAAGAGCAGCTAGCAAGCTAGCATCGCGTCCGTTGTTGTTTTAGTGCAGATACGACGATCCATCTCCACGAACGCTGACATGAGGACACAGATCCCATTTTCGTCGTCCGCACGGGTTAAAAGCCGCCGAGCACAGCCATGCATATGTCGTCCATTTTCGTCAGTTTCTTGACTTCCTCGTAATATGAGTGCCACACACACACATACGGTGTAGAAGCAGCGTCCCTCTCACGTCGTTTCCAGCCTCATCATCACTGACTGTCTGCCGCTGCAGCATCACCTCTGACTGATCGCTGATCTACAGACCTGTGCGCGGCGATAAGATTTAAAAACTGAATCCACACGAGCACACTGGGGGGAATGTCTCATTTATAATAAACGTGTGATTATTGCACACCTCTATCAACACATGGATCTTCATTTGCGATGTGAAAAAAGGTGCATGTAGAAAACCTTATCGGTGTCTTCAGTCAGATCGATCCATCTCACCAATTTATTTTATTTATTTTTTTATTTACCCGCCATTTTTCTTTTAAAATTCAGAACCTGCCTGTTCGTTCCAAGCTGATAATTATATAAATTAACCGATTTAAATTAGCTTCCAGTTAAGGCGTAAAGGGACATTTTACTGCAGTCCCGAGAGAAGAGGAGGAACCTTCTTCCTCCCCGCCCTCTCTGACCATATATGGTCCGTCTGGCGGTTTGGCGAGCCGCTACATCCACCCGGCGAAAAGTGGACACGAGACGTCGGTGTGCTCCGGAGACCAGCGCTTCATTATCTAGGTAAGAGCGGCTTTACCGGCGTCTGACAACCGCGACTTAAATGAATAACGTCCACCGGCTTCCGTTGAAACAAACACGGGCTTGTAAAACACTTGTTAGCCGTCTTTAGACTTTGTCGTAGCTAGTTGGGGCCTTGCGTCAAGTTAGCGTTAGCCGCTCGGGCCCGTTAGCTAAAGGGCTAACGCACCGAACGGCTAGTTTATCCAATTTGTTATTATCGGCTTCTTATTTTTAACATTCTAGATTTAACAGATAACACGTCTGTTTAAGTGTTGTCATGGCCTAGTTCGCTGTGAAGTGACAAGGCGGGCTCTTAATGTTAGCGGCATCCCCGTTAGCGGCTAACAGCTGAGCTATCAGGCAGGATACAGTGAGGAACCCAACGTGCGGGCAGGTGGGACTGGAAGGAACCAAAATGCGGTCTTGGTTAGCGTTGCCACCATTATCACTGAGCTTGAAGCGCTGTATCGTTGACCATTTTAGGCCTTTACTGTTGGTCCGTCGTTGTAATCGGCTGTAAGCTGAAGTTACACCGTGAGTTCAATTACCGGCACATTTTGGGCAGTGGCAAACCGGTAGTTCGAGTCCGCGGGAGAAATCATTCTTCCATCTCAACATTATTTTACCTGCTGTGTGCCCTCAAATATAACCAATCCTGTTGGTTGAAATAGCTTTAAAGGTCCAATTCAACTCATAATACAGCGTTTCACTTGTGATTGTAGCCACTGTATTGTGACTGAGATGTTATTAATACATCAAATATCAGGTTACATTCATGTGGATTGTATAAGCCATAGGATAGTTGCGAAACAGATAACTCCTTTGTGTTCTCATTGAAACCTGTTCGTAAATCACGTTAATTACAGTATAAACAAAGATATTAAACGTACCAAACATACACAGCCTACACATTGGAAACTGATGAGTATAATCAATGTAAGTGGCGTCATAAATGAAACAATAAACTGCAGACACTTTGTTTGCTCACAATTATTCTGTGACAACGGAATGTCATAAAGACTTACTGTTGCTGAGTATATTAATATATAATCATACAGTTTTAATGAGGAGGATACGGTCTTGCCAACAGCAGTCTGTTTTTGGCAGGCGATCACTTTATGGCACAACACCGGCAGCTGTGCTGAGGTTACTCCTTACGCCACTTTATGTAAGCTATTAGTCATTTTTACCCTGATTCATACTCTGATGATATTTGACGGGTGTACACAAAGGTGATCCCAACATTTTGAAATCCTGACACAACTGAGATTCTGTGTACAATACCATGCTTTTCCTGACATAATGTATTATTTTTAGAAGGTAAGGTTGGTGATCCCTGTATTTCTTTTTTTCTGCTGTTGAATAGCCTTGCACAACCATGCCGTCTGATTTGGCAAAGAAGAAGGCAGCCAAGAAGAAGGAGGCTGCCAAAGCCCGCCAGCGCACCAAGAAACCTGATGAAGTAAATGAGGAGGGTGAACAACCAGAACCCCAGCGTAATGGAGCAGAGAGCAATGGTGAGAGAACAATTAATCCCTAGCTATCATTCTTGAGCTACACTGTTACTGACACAAAATGCATATTTTGTGTTGAAATTGGACAGTACACCACATGTTTATAACCGCCCAAAGGTTCAAAAGTAGCTTAATTTGTATGCAAAAAAATTCAAAGGATTTTTTTTTTTCATCAACAGGCATTGAAAGCTTGACGAAGGAGCTGGATGAGTTTGAGCTGCGGAAGACGGAGGCACGGGCAGTGACAGGTGTACTTGCCTCTCACCCTAACAGCACTGATGTCCACATTAGCAGCCTGTCACTGACCTTCCACGGTCAAGAGCTGCTAGCAGACACCAGCTTAGAGCTCAACTCAGGCAGACGCTACGGCCTTATCGGCCTTAACGGCACAGGTAATTCCCATCTCTAGTCAGGGATATCTTCAATCACAGGCTTCCTCAGCCTGCTAACATCTTTACACCTTTTTAAATACAAAAATCTTCTTTCATCCGCACTATTATTCCAGCTACTCGCTGCTCATTTTCAGCAGTTCCTCAAACTGTAACTGGGATTTGTGATGTCACAAGTAATGAGTTTTTTCCCCCGATACTTTTATCTGCCAGGAAAATCCATGCTGTTGTCAGCCATTGGGCATCGTGAGATTCCCATTCCGGAGCACATAGATATTTACCACTTGACCCGGGAGATGGCCCCCAGCGAAAAGACAGCTCTGCAGTGTGTCATGGAAGTGGATGAAGCGAGGATTATGCTGGAGAAGGAGGCAGAGAGACTTGCCCATGAAGACTGTGAGTTATCATGCAGAGGAAAACCAAACGGAGGAAGTTGAATTTTAGTAGCAGCAACACAGATGAGACAAAAATGTAATGGAGAAATACAGTAAAGTCTACAAAACAGAGAAATCCTGTAGCTGTTGGGAGGGATGCTGACTTGATATGTCTCAGTACTGTAGTGATTTTGATTGAAACCAGTAGTAAAGGCCTTTTATGTTCCCCCTGCATAGCTGAATGTGAGAAGCTGATGGAGCTGTATGAGCGTCTGGAGGAGCTGGATGCCGACAAAGCAGAGATGCGAGCCTCCCGTATCCTCCACGGTTTGGGTTTCAGTACTGCTATGCAGCAGAAGAAACTGAAGGACTTCAGTGGAGGATGGAGGATGCGCGTTGCTCTGGCCAGGTAATGACAAGATGCTTAGTAGTATACCTCTCAGTGACATGCATCCTTCTTTGTCCCAGCATAGGTTTGAATTTGCAGCAATTACTGAGTACTGAAGTCTTGAGTAGTGCCCTGTGTTGATTCTAGGGTTGTGTTTTTCCCCATAAGGTTCAGCCAGGTTAGCTAAATGTCTTGATGTATCTGCAGTGTAATGTTTCTCTGGCAAATGAAGATGTTTTTTAAGTCAGATTGTGGAAACTACCAAAGTTGTCAGACTTCAAAGATAGTATACATGGAGTAGTCCACACTTGGAGACCTTTATGAAATATGAAATTTATACTATCAGGAAAAAGTGTCACAGCGATATGTTTCCCATAGACTCAATTTTTTTTTTGTCCCTGTAGAGCCCTGTTCATCAAGCCCTTCATGCTGTTGCTGGATGAGCCTACTAATCACTTGGACCTGGATGCTTGTGTGTGGTTGGAGGAGGAGCTCAAGTCGTAAGTTTGTCTCCTCCATCAATTCTTAAATCATCCAGTTTGTATTATGTACGCATGGAGTTGCGTTTTAATTAACCTAATGGTTCTTTTCAGGTTCAAGCGAATCCTTGTGCTCATCTCACACTCCCAGGACTTCCTGAATGGTGTGTGTACCAACATCATCCACCTGCATCAGAGAAAACTGAAATACTACACGGTAAGAACACATAGCTGAAACTACTACTTGTGCAATAAAGCAAAATTAAGAAGCCAGCTGCCAGAATGGAAAGCATGTTTCGCATACATCGGAAGGTCTTGAAGTATCTTGAATGAACTGCCATATGTGATCTCATAATTCTAAATAAGGAAACTCAGGGTGAGCTGTTACTAATTATGTCTGTGTGCTATCCTGTTGGATGACCGTGCAAATCTATTTTTGTTTTAAGGGTAACTATGACCAGTATGTGAAGACCAGAGAGGAGCTGGAGGAGAACCAAATGAAGCGCTTCAACTGGGAACAGGACCAGATAGCACACATGAAGGTGAATGAGGGACACCATGTGGTAGAATGTTGTCACTGCAGGAGTAGGGGATTCCATAGGTGCTCATGTTAAGTTTTTTTGCTAAGAAAACATCACTTTGTTTAAGATGAGAGTAATTACTTTGTGTCTGTTGTCTCATATTACACAAAGTGGAAAGACAAAATTAATTATCTGGTGGTATTCAGTTGTTGAAAAGTCAGGAAATATTCTAAATGTAGTGTTTAATAGTTGGCTGGAAAAAGGACAATTTATTGTAATATTGTAGAAAATTGATGCATTTTAGTGAAATGTAGCATTAATCTTCAGGGAGGAAGCAGATGTGCCATTTCACACAGAAAAAGTCAACGAAATTAATCAAATGTCAGGATGTGGGCGGCTTACATCCTCGGCTAAACAGTTTCTTCAGGGCAAACCTCTTAAGTGTATCCGTTTTTTTTCTCCCTAAGCTGTAACATGGTTGAGAAGATTCTATAAAACAGCATTTGCACTCATTAGCCTTTGTACTTTCCTCTCCTCCAGAATTACATAGCCAGGTTTGGTCACGGCTCTGCGAAGTTGGCACGACAGGCACAGAGCAAAGAGAAGACACTGCAGAAGATGGTGGCGTCAGGCTTGACTGAAAGAGTTGTGAATGACAAGGTACTGTAATTTTACTGATAAGCCTGAAATTGAGACCCGGAAACCACTGACGGTTTTACAGCCTGGCAGTTGTTTTCAGACCTTCGACCGAGTGATTCACATTTTGTGTAATTGTGTAATGTCATGGCACTAACACCTTCCTGTTTCCCACAGACTCTGTCATTTTATTTTCCTCCCTGTGGGAAGATTCCTCCTCCTGTTATCATGGTTCAGAATGTGAGCTTCAAGTACAGTGACAACACAGTGAGTATGCTTCAGGTTACAGCATGGATACAGCTCTCTCCACTGAAATGTGAATTTATTTCTCAGTCTGACTCATCTGTTCATGTTTCCTGTAGCCGTACATTTATAAAAACCTGGAGTTTGGTATTGACTTGGATACACGAGTGGCTCTGGTGGGGCCCAATGGAGCTGGGAAATCCACACTGCTGAAGCTGCTCATGGGAGAGGTGAGTATATTTACCTAATAGCTCCCAACGATTTGCAGTCGTCTTTAGAGTATTTGGGTTTAATCCCTCTTTTTTGTGTTTTAAAGCTGCTACCTTGTGATGGCATGATCCGCAAACATTCTCACGTCAAGATTGGCAGATATCACCAGGTAAGACTCGGCCTCTTGATGCCACACGCTTCCTAATAATCACCCTTTTGACAGGACTAAAGGACAACTGAAATTAAATGCTCTCAACATATCTGCTTATGTTACAGCATCTGACAGAGCAACTGGAGCTTGACTTGTCTCCCTTGGAGTACATGATGAAGTGTTTCCCCGAGATCAAAGAAAAGGAGGAGATGAGGAAGATCATCGGTCGCTATGGGCTGACAGGAAAACAGCAGGTAGGAAGGGAATACTTTTTAGACTGTCATTTGAATTCAGTTTAAAAATAAAAATAAAAAATTCTCTGCCTAAAGCCATTCATTACTCATTTCCATAACACATTTTTATGCGCATTTTGAAGTATCGCATTAAAGTTTCATGGACACTGAGGTAGTTTGAGTTTAAGAAAAAGAAGTTAATGCACTAGACAGAAACATTTTTCAAATAAGTTCTGAAAAAGAAACTCACTATTTTGCTTCTTTGTTTTGCTTTTGAACATGAAACACATCCAACGGCACCTAAAATTAACGATTAACTGCTCAATTAAAAACAACTCCTGCAGACTTCTCTCCATTTCCTCTCCTCGATGGCCAAAGTTTTATTTCATCTTCAAGTTTGTTTGTTTTTCCGGCATTTCGCAGACTGGTTTTGTTTTTTTGGCTTCTTCTACTCAATTTTTTTACACCCTTGCATTGTGTGTCCGATGCTGTCGCATTCTGGCAACACGATGCAGCCTGATTTACTCGTTCCAAAGCAGGAAACAAACATTTCACTTCAAATGAGCTAAAAACATAGCGTGTGTCTTTACATCACCATCTGAAACACCAACGTCTTCTTCCAGGTCAGTCCAATCAGGAACTTGTCAGATGGTCAGAAGTGCCGGGTGTGTTTTGCTTGGCTGGCCTGGCAGAACCCTCACATGCTGTTCCTTGATGAGCCCACCAATCACTTGGATATCGAGACTATTGATGCGCTGGCAGAAGCAGTCAACGAGTTTGAGGGTGGTATGATGCTGGTTAGCCACGACTTCAGGCTAATTCAGCAGGTATGTTATCAATTTGATGGATTCCTTTAACATTTGACTGGGAGTTAAACTGTGAACCAGATGATCTGACTTGCAGCTATCATCATTGTATTGATCATCTTTCCTCCAGGTGGCGCAGGAGATCTGGGTGTGTGAGAATCAAACCATCACAAAGTGGAACAGGGACATCCTGGCGTACAAGGAGCACTTGAAATCAAAGATTGAAAAGCAGCAAGCGCATGACATCTAAAGCTGCATCCCACCGAGCCGCTCCTTTATCTTGCATCATGGATTTGACCTGCAGGCTCCTGAGGGGGATGAGCAGGAAATGACCCCACTAGAACGGAAACAATCTCTTATGCATCTTATTGGACACGTCTCTTGTACATGTTGTACTGTATCCATCTCGGTTTGACAGTGCTGCACCGTGCTGAACCTGACCCAATCCCCCATCTCCTTTCACCTCAGGCTGCACTCTGATTGGCTGATTCACCTGAAGCATCTCAGTGCATTTTGGAATGCATTCCATTGTGCTGTCTTCATAGAAAAGTTTTATTTTTCCGAATGTTCTGTTTTATCCCAACATGTATGCAGCAGCTTTTAGGTCATATTTTATGATATTTAAAAGTTGACTTCTTTTTTTTTCTTCCCCGTGTAAAAGAGCAGTTCTGCCTTATTTAACAATGTAATGCAATAAAAGGTTTGTCTGAATAAACGGAACATAAAAACAGCACATTTAGCTTGAGAAGACTTTATTGTTAATTGTACCGAATACAGTGCTTGTATCCAAAAATCAAAAGCTTTTAGGGAAAATAAACTATCTTACATCTCTGTAAACAAGAAGGAAAAACTTCAAAGTGATTAAAGAAGTAGCTTTGGGTTCCATTTCATGAGCCCCAATGGCTGCATAGATCCTACATTATATTACAGCCACTACACTACGCTATGTGTACGCTGCTCACCCATGTAGCTGAAAATGGCCGGGCTCTCAAAAAACATTTCTTGGCATAACTAACAATAGAAGAGGGTAATATTGCAGCCACTTACAAACGTCAACTGAGGCCGTTGCATCACCAGGATGCAGTCAAAAGGAAAACTAGAACTTTTTACGTGATTTCTGTGAAAGCTAACATCCATGCAGACATGATTCCATGTGTTCTAAAATCATTCTAAAGCTACTGACAAAAGCTGTGTTCATGTCAATTTGTGAAGCTATCCAGAAAGTCCTGATTGCTCTAAAGCCAATCATTGCAACAAATACTCTATTTTTTAAACTGATTGTATTGTAGCATTTAACTAGACATTTTTAGTTGCTATAGTCTGACGAATGAACACCTGTCGACACCGTTATGAAATTTTCACAACTCTTAAAAAAGTATCGACTTTAAAAAATCAAGTACAGGTTGGGCCCTTGCTTGACATTTACTGCAACTGTATTTGTTGCACACTACAGCTAAAAACAAATGACACAAGAGCTAGTCTCCCAGATGGCAAGTAATTCTTGCGATAAATCCAATATGACATGAATACAGCTCAAGAGTCAATGTTAGTTCCAATGCAGGTAGCGAAGTGATTACTGGAAGACATCTGCCTTCACGTCCTTCCAAAACGTTTTCAACAACCGTATTTGGTTGAAATGAGAATTTGTTACTTAGATTTTTCATTTAATTTCTACATATGTCTGTCTGTTAGTCATTACAGTCTGAATATACATGCTTTGTTATACATTTCCAATATTAAGTTTGCCACTTGGCTCCAGAAGGGCCAGTCGGGAGAAATGCAGGTTGCTCCGACCCATAAGGCTGCACATGAAGCTTTAAAGCTATAAAGTTTGTCAGATGGAGTTTTCCAGAGACAAACGGCTGCAGTGTGTGCAATTAAATACTGATTACCGGTAATTCTATATATGTAAACGTTACAAACGGAGTAGTTGTTAAACACAAAGCTCCCGTTTAAGGTTTCAACGTAGCGTGCATGATTGACAGATTAGTGACACTAGCTGCAGTTGAAACAGTGCAAGTAGGAGGAGTGTTTCAGTTACGCTGTTCTCCAGAGGATCCTGGTGGCAGCATGTTTCAGGGGCTGAAGGGGGGGAGCAGCAGCAGCAGTCAGAGCCGTGCTCAGGTAGACTATATGTGGACCAAACCAAAGGTGTCGACGCTCACTGGGCCTCCCACTCCTCATCGGAGACCTCGTCAACGGAAATAATGCGAGTGTTACTGGCCCGAATGCTGCTGATGTTGGTGAAAGAGAGGAGGCTGGCGATGCCCATCAGACTCACACCGGTGCCATCCAGGTTCACCTGAGCGAGATGCATGTGTTTCAGGAACTTCAGACCTGAGGACAAGGTATAAAGACACTTGGTTGTTAATCCTGACAAAAAAAAAGAAATGAAAATGGTCTGGTGTAGTTGAATCACGTGGATGAAGTTTAGAATGTACCGTGGTCTGTGATCCGTGTGCGGCTGAGATTAAGCTTAAGAAGCTGATTGCAGCGGAGCAGGCCTCTCCTCACGACTGTGTCTCCCACTTGAGTGCTGGCTAAGCCCAACACCTGGAAAACAGCAGCAAAATATGTTACCAACACAAACAACTGCATTGAGACGTGGTGTCCACCAGCACAGAATTAAATGTGTCTCAGTGAAAATAGGGCCAATAATTAAACAGAGAAGTTCAAGCTTGAAAACAAAGAGGCTTAAATCATAGAATACTGTACATTTGGTTAAAAGGTGTGCAGATTGGATGAGGTATTGTTTTTTGTATAGTCATGAAGTAGACACAGGTGTAAGCTAAATTTCAACCCTTGATTGTGAAAGAAAGTAGTAGACTGTAGTATGTTGTGTTTCCATATAAATTTTAACCCCTGGCTGCTGAACTCTGACCCTGCCATTTAATCCTGTTGGCTCATAATCTCACATTGTGAATGAGTGAGTTCTGCACTGCAGCAGAGTTTGATGAGTGGTGCTAAGAACAGTAATATATATATATATATACAGTGTGACACCCTGAAATTTTAATGTCCAGGGAAAGCATTAAATATAGCTTTAAATGTATGAGAGCGAATTTATTCTAAGACATGACATAGGGTTAAAACCACACATGTAGTACCCTGAACTAACACTGAGCTTATTAACAATAGTGAAATAACCTGGAGGTGCGGCAGACAGGTGATGAGCGCGGCCACTCCGCGGCTGGTGACTGCCGTTCGGTCCAAACACAAGTCCTGTAGCTCCTGCAGGCCTCGCAGCGAGGGAAGCCCTGCATCTGTCACCTGAGTGTTGCTAAGTGACAGCTTCTTCAGCCTACACAAAGTGAACACAACACTGCTGTCAGAATCACTGTTTTATTCATACAGAAACAAAGGGCTCATGAGGTGTGGAAGTTACATGGTCATGGTGGTGAGCTGCTTTACTCCCTGGTCTGTGACCTGCGTGTAGTCTGTCAGGTCCAGCTCTGACAGCAGAGACAGTCTAGAGAGGAATGCCAGCCCACTGTCTGTCACAGAGTGGCGTCCAGGGAGGGTGAGGTGAGTCAACTTTAGACCTGGGAGGAAAACAGAAACCTCAGATTCAATACAGACTCGGATCATTCTGTTTCACTTTGTCTGTCTGCTCACTCCTTTCTGCTTACAAACCTGAGATGATCTGAAGGGCATGGTTGCCATCTATTACCGGGATTCCTCCCAAACTGAGCGATGACAGGGTGGGGTGGGTAGCGAGGTGCTCCAGAGACGCCTCTGTCACACCTGTCCCATCCAGGTTCAGAGTCTGCAGACTGGACATCTCTGCCAGAGCGGTCACATCCTTAACCTGGTAGAACAACACACACCAAAAAAACAGTAAACTAACCAATCACCGAGACAAAAACAGTGCAACAGATCGAGCTAGTAGAGCTACAGCACCTCAGTCTGCTTGATGCTGAGAAGTCGCAGCTGTGGTACACAGGTGGGCAGCACTGCCAGCGTGGCTTCAGTCACTGCCGTCTGGTTCAGGCTGAGCTGGGAGAAGCAGGATGGAGCTGACTGGAGATAGAGAACCATCCCAGCATCTGTCACTTTGGTCTGGTCCAGAGACAGGAAACACAGGCTCTTCAAACCTTGAAAACATCAACAGAAGGAAAAATGTCAATAAAATGTTCAATACAACCACTTAACAAAGCAGCTTATTTTGAGACCTGGCGTTCTTGCACGTACATGTTAAGTGGTGTTACATAATGATTTATCCCCATCTAATAACAGCCTGAGCCTTGTTCAAAAGACTGCTTGAGTGTGTAAAAAAGCCCAACCTGTGATATGCTGCAGACAAGAGTCGGTCAGTTTGCTACAGGAGGCCAGGTTGAGGTACTGGAGTTTGACCAGACTGGACAGTATCGACAGGCCAGAATCTGGGCAAAACAAGTACAGAAGATTAAGGAGAAAAAGCACAGACTTTGACCGAAGATTCTGCAAAAATTTAGCTGACAAAGCTGACAGTTAAAAAGCCTAGAAACAACCTGGTATAAAATGTTTTACCAGTGATGAGAGGCGAGTTAACCAGACTCAGATGCTTCAGCGCTGTGAAGGCCCGTAACTGCCGCAGGAGTTCATTGGTGGAATAAGGGTAGCAGTTTAGGACAAACTTCTGCATCGGGCAGCCAAAGAAGAGCTCCAGGGTGCGTGGACGTAACAGCCTCTCGCGGGACATGTGGTTGAGCAGAAGCTCTGCTAGCTCTGGGGTCAGGCCTGCCAGACTGCTGCTGTACTGCATGCTGGGAGCTGAGACAGTAAAGACACGGAGCCAAGAATCACCACAGTGTGCAAACAAAACAATGAGACACGTTTTCTGGGAAACCTTACAACTGAACATTCTCCTCTTTCATACCAGTCATGAGGTGGACAGTTGCGCGGGTGGCCAAGGCACATAAGGACGGCACATTCGGTGTCCTGAAGGGTCTTTTAGGTGGCGATGGTTGTCCCTGGGAGGCGCTGTGGTCCTCCTGCTGGGCGGCTCTTTGAAGACGCTCCACTGCAGCCAGACCTGCAGCTACAGGCGCCACCGGACCTCCGGCATCCTCGGGGTCTGCTGCTTCCTCTTCAGGAGCCTCTCTAAGACACACAAACACAACTGTCCTTTCAAGACATGCTGTGTGCTGCTTAATGTTAATATAAAACGGGTGAAAACAACCATCTGCTTCAGTGGGATGAGGCAGGTGAGGCAGAAGCTGGAGACAACTGTTCTTGTTCTGTCCTGTCTTTGATTCTCTTCTATTAAAAGACCCACACTTTCAGCTAATCAATTAAAGTCTCATGCATTTTATAACGATGTGAAATACATGAGAACAAAGAGCAGGAAACAGATGTAAATACTGGCTAAGTTTAAGTTACACTGAAGCACAACAAGCAACATGAAAACACAACTGTCCACCCAGTCCTTCTTTGTTGCTTTCAAATAACTATTAAAGTTTCCACCATTGCTGATTGTCCTTCAGTAGAACAGTGTCCACACAGTTTTGATCTGTAAGCATACGATCCAGGCTAACGGTAATGTCAGCCACATTATGCACAACATGCTGCCCCTAAGGATTTTTCTACTATGGCGGTGAGGTAATCCACAGGGTCTTCAGTTTCTCAGATGCTGGAAGACTCTTGTGTTCAGTTTTGCAGCCAACGGCAGAACATTTGGCATGCTTTGCTCGTGGCTGAGACATTTTAGCGATGGCAGAAGGAACTAAAAAGTGAATAAACCCGGTGAACTGCTATTCAGCTGCTTGTTTCCGAATGGCTCGCCTCCCAAGCAGTGGGCAGCGAGGGGGCAGGATTATGCAAAGTCTGAGCTGGATGACTGTTAGTTCCTCCGTTGGTACGTCGCATGTCAGTAAAATTCTTACTAGCTTGTAAAGCGGGGTGGTTATCTAGTTGTGGGAGGCTTGAGGAATGGCAGAAGTAAATGTCTGCATATATTGACAGCTTTTACTTCACACCTCTGAGTTTATAACAACCACAACACAATAAAATTGGATTTTCACCGTTTTAAGACTTCAATGTCTTTCTCTGGCTGTTTACAGGGCCTTGCTATAAAAATGACTTTCTTTATGAAGGAAAGTTAACTATATAACAATGCAATTAAAAAATAAAGCAGATTACTAGTGGTACTTATTGTATGGCTTCAGTTTGGATAACATTTGGATACATGCCCCCAGTGCAGAAGCACCTTCAAACTAATCCAGTATATCTAGTTGCAAGATGCTCCAAACTGTGCCTGTAATGCATCTAAAATTGTATTACATGTTCTTTATACTACATCGGTGCCATTCTGTCTCGACACCCACCTGAGTCGGTTGCCTTGCTCTGGCCAGTGGTGCCGCGGCTCAAATCCTCCTCGAATCCTGTTCTCCGGGAAGAAAGGCAGCCTGGGCATTCCTGTGAAAATTACACACAGCTGTAATCCATAAGGAGATTCTAATACCACCAAGCAGAAACTCTAAACATTTCATCTCTCCTGCATTTTTTACTGACTAAGACTCACACACCTCTAATAAGCATCTTTGGTGGCTTGATTCTTCTTGAACTAGCTTCGACTGTGAAGGAGCTCTTTTCACTCTCTGTTCTGACACACTTTCAGAATACTATATCATAACCGCATGCTCTGAAATACTGCATATGATTGGCTGGCCATGTGTAAGCACTTAGAGAAGTCGGTTCTCACTGGTGGAGCTGAGCGGTTCTGACCCTGTGTACTGTATATCGGACAGAAGGGGGCATTCACCTACATATTTCCTAATCCTAAGTGACACACATTTCTGGGGCAGAAAGTCTAACATTCAGTACACGAGGAAACTTATGCAATATACAGTCTGAAGTTGAATAAAAGCCAGGGCCATGTGGTTCTGATACAAATGTTCAAAAAGCTCTCAGTGGATGAACAATGGAGAAACATGGAAGTGAGAAGAGAAGAAAGAGGGAGGACAAAAGAGGGGAAAAGCAAAATGTAGGTCAAAATATGAGAGGAAGTTTTTGCAACAATCCCAGACACAGGGAACAGTACCGTTGAGCATGTGAGGTGGTTCTTCCTCTGCCTCTGGATCCTCATCAACCTCTAGGCCAGGGTCCTCAGCATTACCAGGAACCAGCCTCTGGCCTCGTCCTGTCAAACACCAGGAACATTATCTAGCAACTCTGCCACCTTTTGAACAACCTGCAACATTCTCATTTGTTCAAAACTAAACCCATATAATTGAAAACTGGGGCAAAGTATAATGTTACAGGACTAAAAACTCCCACTGGTTTGGTACACTACAAAAACATAAGAAAGTGAACATAAAAATGCAAGGTGGGAAACTGTGATAGTGCATGTCTGTCAAAAACAGTCAACTATTGAGCTTAAAATGCTCTGAGATCATACTCATGAAAAAGCAAAAAACACACACTTCAAATCAGTTCACTTTTAGATTCTGGGTCAGTTTCAGATGAACTCAGCAACCATATCACTGTGGTTTGTTCCCAACTGTTCACACAACAAAGCACCAGGAATCTACCTGAGTCTGGAACCCAAATCTTAACTGCAAAGTTGACAGGAAATGTTAACTAGAGCAGGTAGAAATAAACTGAAATTCTCCTTTAAGAGTAAAATCATTTGTTAAAGTCGGAAAACATTAACTGGATGTTCCCATACTGTATGGCCTAATCTCCATGGCAACAGCAGCTCAGGCTAATGGGTACTGAGGTGTTTGGAGCTGTCTGCCATACCAACATGACCAAAGAAACATCCATCCATTATCTATATATCGCTTAATCCTCACTAGGGTTGCAGGGGGCTGGAGTCTATCCCAGCTGACTCAGGGTGAAGGCAGGGGACACCCTGGACAGGTCACCAGTCTATCACAGGGCTACACTTAGAGACAGACAACCAAGCACACTCACATTCACACCTACGGACAATTTAAAATCACCAATTAACCTCAACATGGTTTTGGACTGTGTGGGAGGAAGCTTCTTCTTGCTGTAAGGGAACAACGCTAACCACCGGGTCACCTTGCAGCCCCCAGAGAAACATGATTTCTCAATATAAATTTTAAAAATGGCCAAAACTAATGGTCCTCACATACAGGACTGTAACATCATCAGGGAAACTCCCGTGTTTTTGTAATGTGCTTGTAAATTTATAATACATAAGGCATTTTTACAGGCATGCTCTGTGTACAGTTTTTTACCCCAGAAGTGAGAAGGCCCAGACAGCGCAGGAGGAGCTCCAGGTATCCCAGCATAATTCACTGCTTCCTCCCACAGTTGGTTAGGCAGCATAGGAGGCAAAACAGGGTCCTCCCCTCCTGCCCCCTCCTGCACCGGGATGTGTGGCAGAGGAGGCACAACACATGGAGGTGGCTCATTTTGGCCTGCTGACGGTGGGGCTGCAGGACTTGGTGGATCCTGAGGAGTCTCTGGAGGAGTGGTCTGAATGCACAGTGCAGCGTTAGGCGTGAGGCCAAGAGAGCGCAGCGAACAAGCGAGCTCTGCCTCCCCGAAGCGCTTTCGCGGAAAACCCTGAAGGAGCGAAAAGGAGGACAGGGAGGGGTGACGTCCGGTGATGTGCTCCACGACGGTGCTCAGAGGGGCATCGGCTGAGAAGCGCTCACGCATGGACTCGCCGGACGGAAGCCGAATCTGCAACAAGTATATAAACTTAAACAACTCCAAATCTGTAATTTGACTATATCGAAGTCACACACAGCAAATCAGAAATGACTGTTCTTCACAGGCTCACCATGAGGATGCAGTTGTTATCGACATTTGTCTGAACCTTTCCTCCAAGCTTCTGCCCTTCCCCGCTGGGAGAAGACGTCTCTGGAGCAGCACTAGTCTGGATCTTCTCCTGCAAGCTCCTCCGATCTTCAGCTATCCGCTTCAACACCAACTCGCGCTCCTGAAGCAGAGAATGCGTAAGACAAAATGTTCTCTTCTAAGATTACAAGTCAGACATTTGACACTAAAACACATTCTTCCTTGTGTGATAACAAACAAATGAGTTCACACAGTTCAGTACCAGAAGTGCTTCTTTTTACTGCTGACCTGTTTCTTTTGTCTTCTCTCTGCTCTGGCTTCCTGAGCAACACGTTGTCTTTCTTTCTCTTCAAAGTCACTCTTGTCTTGCTTGATGCGTGACTCCACGGGAGGTGCATCTGAGGACAGGTTACATGATTGTGACGGCCTCAGCACCAGTGAAGGGCTTGCTGTTGAAGACGGAAAGAAATGTAATGAGATTATTTTGCATCCTAGACTATCCGTTCCTCAGGCTGTACTCGGAACACTCCATTGATGATTACAAAGTCATATTTAAAAGGATAAGGATACAGTTATTGGATGAATGTGACAGTCTATCCTTGAAGTAGTCCAACTGATGAACAAAAAACATGAAAACAGTTTTGATTGGAGTCCAAAACACTTGGTGTAGTACCTCCGCCATCAGTGGGTGATGCGTGCGACTCTGAAGTGCTTGCTGCCTCTTTTGGAGGGTTGAAAGCAGAAAAAGCTGTTTCAGCTGGCTGTGATGACTGCTTGACCAGCCTGTGCCGTGGGTATTGACCCTGTAAGAGCCTAGCAACATACAAAAAATGGACAGAGAACTCATTTTCTGAACAAGGTGGTCTTTTAGGCACTACAGGGATATTATATTAGCATGTCATGAATTCTAACTATTGCATGGATTGAACAATAAAGGAGTTGGGACCACTCACCACTCAGCTGCCTCTGGCACAGAAAAATGCCCGGCCTGCACAGCCGCCTGAATCTGTTCCTCTGTGAAACCCATCTCACTGAGGATGAGGAATAACTCCCCGATAGTCTGCAGAACAATATCAAGCACAGGTAACAAATCAGCTGTATTATAAATCAAACAGATACGTAAACAAAGTGCTGACCAAACTACACTTGTGGTTGCTTTTCCCTTATCAGTAATTGTACCTGGGTGCAGTTTGTCTGACTCATTGAGACTTCATACGTTAAAAACGTTGCAAAAAGATAAGAGAGTTTTCTTGGTGTTAAGTTTTCATTCAGTTTAACCAACGGAGATATTGTTTATAATGACTGAGTAAAAAGAAACAGCAATAACCAGTGTTTTTCTTTGCTTGTTGTGCTGAGTACTGATACAGTTATCCATAATTTTGCTATTTCAAAACTGTAAAAAGAAAAAGGACAACTAAGGTTAACTATGAACTGTCAGCTTTCACTACGAGCCAGCAAAATATTGGAACCTTGTTCATGCTTTTGTTCCTAGATGTGCTGACTACTACAACGCTCTATATACTGGTGTATCAAAAGCAACCATTGCAAAACTACAGACTGTCCAGAATGCTGCTGCCAGCGTTTGAAACAAAAAAATAAAACGAGCCATCACACAAGCTACGTTTTACGTAACTGACATTGGCTCCCTGTTATTAACCTGCAGCAGGCAGTGTTTTTGTTTTTGCTGCTGAATTGTAGATTCATTTGAGCTGCATTTTGTGAATGAAAGGTGCTTTGTAAATAAAGTTAATTCATTCACAGACAAGTTTATTTTCCCTACTGGCAGCTTCAGCATTCAGAGTGATCATTATCGCTGGAGTTAAGAACAGATGGAATTTCCCTAAACTTACATAAGAAATATCAACATACCACACCAGGTTTTTCAGTCTCAGCTATGTAAATGCTCTGGTACTTTCCTTTTTCTATTTTTTCTGTGAAATCCTCAGGTGAGGTCAAATACTGAACATTTAATAATAAAATGTCCTATTACAGCCCTTATAAATCTATTCACATACATGTAACTAACCATATATATGTCAACATTTTCTAATAACGTCACTGTATTTGTATATATCCGTCCTCCTTTGTTAGTCTTTGATAAATGGAAATATCCTGAGCAAACATCAGCAAAATGCTAACAATAAAAATGCTACAGTATGTCCCCAATGCTTAATAAGGGCTGCAGAGAATATGCTGCTGTGGCCTTTAATCGTAGCACAAATGAATATTATGTACCAACACTAACATCTGTGTTGTGGCGAGGACTGCAACTTGACGTATGTGTTGCTATTGTCTGTCCTTCAGTCAAGCTGGCTGCACTTTGGTCCTAAATACCAAGTTAACGTCAGTTCATAAAGTTTTCAGCAGCCAGTTAGCCTCTGTCATCGTAAACGCACCGACTCACAGACAAAGACAGCGAATCTAAACTTAACAACAGCCCCCGAGCTAGCTTACAGCTAATGCTAAGTGTGTTGTTATTTGGTACAGGCAGCTGCTGTCAACAAACAACGGTAGCATGACAGCTAACAGCTAGCTGCGCCAGGCTAAAGCTAACGCGGCTAACAGGCTAATATCACATCTACTGTACAGTGTCACGTCAAAGGCAGGCGGGTGATCTGGAGCTTACCGGAGAGGTAGCAGAACTCATGCCGCGGTTTCAAGGTTACCGCAGAAAAGACAGAGCGAAACAAGGATTAATGTACAACTTTGTTGACTTCCTGGTTCTGTATGGAGAGCAGTCGGCTATGCTAGCTGCGCTGACCTCTCCCCCCTTTGACTTGCAGATTGACAGAAAGTGAAGCAGAAAGCAACCTATCAACACTGCCGACAGTCCAGATTTCCTGCAGCGTGCAAATCCGAGCTGCTTCCCAGTGACTGACGGATCCAAACCCCAATCAGTCGCTGCCTTATCAATGACTCTGACCATCTACGACCAAATGTAGGTTTATTTAAGCAGTTTGGCTGTACAACGTGACAGAATGAGCCAGAGTCAAAGTGAAAGTTAAGGGTTAAAGTAAGCAAATATATAAATAGGTAGGATTATTTCAGAATTAAGCCACACATAATTAATAGATTAATGACGACACAGTGAAATAATCTATATTATACTGATTGGATTTAAAGGACTTGTGTTGTAATTTCTCATGTAGTAGCATGAAGTCGCCAGCAGGTGTCGCCCTTGGTCTTTGTTCAGTGACGCTGCAAGTTGTTGGTAAAATACTTCATTCTGTTTTACACACGCAATGTAAAACATTAAACAGGATTTTAGTGGAGTTATCAAATCTTTTAATGCTAGTTTAATGTAACTATAAAACAAAGACACAAGCAGTCCAGAGAATCCTTGGATTTGTTTGGTTTAAATGCATATTTATTAGGGTCCACCTTTATCTCTAAATTAGTCAGGTTTATGTTGATAATTAATAATGCTGTGGGGTCTAGCCATGATATTTATATTAGTGCGGTTAAGTTCTGTTATTTATAATACGGTAGATATATTATTACATTAGTGAGGTATATTTCCCATAATAAATAATACTTAATATGTATTCTAGTTAGGTATAGTAGTATTTTACATATCTTCTGCAGGGTTTCTATCTCTAATATTCTTTATTCCTTATTTGGATCCCCATTAGCTTCCACAAGGTGGCTGCTAGTCTTCCTGGGGTCCATTCACAAAACAACATTAAAAAAAAATACATCAATTTAAAATCACCCCTCCATAAAGAACAGTTCTCATCATAAAGTTTGTTCGTGGACTTGGTGCCACCAGAAGACCAGTGTTTACTTGGTGTGTCACATACCCATGGCAAAAACCACTATATACTAGTTTATCACCAAAGAACTGAGGTGTATTTTTCAGGATGACAGTATGCATAAAAAACAAAAGGCTAGATTTTGATTTAGCCTCCACACTCAGCCAAGATAGTCAATTATGTATCTTACACACACTGGCATGGAAAGAACAAAGAACTAATCTGGCTGCCCCGTTCTGTGCAATTTGAAGCTTTTTAGGGTGTTTTTGAGCAGCACTTGACCAGGTGACTGGGCAATACTCCAACTGTGACAGAACAAGTGACCGAACAGCATCATTCATAACAGAGCGTGGAATATAGCCGGAACATTTCCTTGACATGGCAATGCCCTTTCCCATCATGGAGACAATTTGATCGATCTGGTCAGACCAAGACAGTAAGCTGTCTTGGAACACAGAGAGATATCCTTCTGCTGTCAGAAAAACAGCCACTGAAAAACACTAGCTGTGATCTGCCAGAGAGGTAGCTTTTCATCCATGCAAGAGCTAGAGGTGAAACACCATAACATTTAAGTTTAGCTAGAGGAATGCTGTGGTCAGTGATATCAAATGCTGCAGTAAAATCCAACAGCACAGCCCCTACTAGTTTCTTGTCATCTATATTGTTAACCACTGATCACTCATGTGTACTAATGCAGTGCTCGTAGAGGGTCCTGGTCTATAGGCATGCTGTGCTTTTGAAAGTAGTCCATTACTACTGAAATAATTTAACATTTGATTAAAAATAACTTTCTCTATTATCTTACTGAGCACAAGGAGTACGCTAATTGGTCTACAATTGGAGCCAGTATAACCTGCTTTTCCATCCTTGGGTAAAGGTATAATTTTGGACTCTTTCCAAAGCTCAGGAAAGTTTCCACTGAGTAAAGATCTATTTAAGATACGACATATCGGTTTGGAAAGCAGGCTAGCAACGATCTTAAAAAATTTCCGTCCAGGTTATCCATGCCTGGAGATGTATCATCTGAGAGAGAGCGCAACATCCCCTCAACGTTGTCCTGATTAACTGTATCAAAAGTAATAGAGCAGGTTTTATCACTCATAATATCGTTAACAGTGTTTCAAGGTAAATTAACATCATCAAATTTCATGCAAGATCTTAACCTGTCTACTTTGTTGATGAAAAAATTGCTAAAATAACTAGTTACTTCATATGGCCTGGTGATGAGCTGACCTGCACATTCCACGTACTTTTGAGATTTCCCTGACATCTTACACATTAATTCATTCAGTGTTTGCCACAATTTTTTATTGTCATATGTAAATTGTTAGTCCCTAGTTATTCCCATATTTTTAAATGAAGCTACTTTACATGCTGACTAATGTCTAAAATGATTTTGACACTTGCAGTTGACAGTCCTTCTTGTCAAATAAGGAACTAGCACTTTAAATTTACAAATTGTAACTGCAGAAATCCTTTGTTTGATGCCTTGGTGGTACTACTGTAAAATAGTCAACTGCAGGAATAGCTGGTGGCATCAGGAGAGATAAAACTGCTATTAAGTGAGATAAGGTCTAAATTAACTGGCAGTTGCTCAGATTATGATTGGTAGGTTGAACATCACCCGTAATAACCTGCTCTTTTATTATATTTTATGCAGTGCAATCTTATTCTTACACAGACTTGTTTTTACACAGTGCAGCAATTGTATTTTTATTGTATTTTTTTGTAATGACTTTGTGCTCTTTTGCCGTATTCTGCTAACCCAAACAGCTGCTAAACTGCCTTTTGTTGTAGTTTAACAATGTCAGTAAAGATCTATTCTATTGTATTCTATTCTATTCTAAATGCTCTTTATGCAGGAATCTTTACGGGGCCACCCAGGGTCTACATGATTTCCTGTAAGTTATATTTCCTTAAAGTCCCCTCAGTTGTCCCAGTGTCTGTGGTCTGTGTAATTTGTATAGTTTTTCTACAACAGAGTACAATGAGGGCAAATAAGTTCAATAAGTGAAGCAGGTAGATAGAAAAAAATCAAAAACCAAATCAGACACACTGCAAGCACTAAAGCAATATAGCTAAAATGCAGCATACAAGTGTAGATTGATTTTATGTCAGTGGCCAAGAATATATGACTAATTAGTGGAAATGAGCGACAGATGTTCAGGCAGGTGATGCTCAGTTTTCTTCCTAGCAGCAGGAAGGCCTGAGGTCAGCTGCTGGTCAAGAAGGGAATAACAATGCAAGAAGAAATAGAAGAACAGTGGCAGGTGTGAAAAATGTGAAATATGTGACCACTTTAAACCTATTTCGTATGAATAAACAACATATGAGCAAAAAAAAAATGGATGGACAAGTAGAAATCATCCTAAACTGCACAAATTGTACAGACATTTAAGATGGGATACATTAAAAAAAGCGTTTACTTAATCCAGCCTTTCTGTTGACCTTCATAAAGAAGAAGATAAGAAAATGTCAATTCTTCACTTTGGTGATTAGGACTGAAGCTGCCTTATTTATTTATTTATTTATTTATTTATTTATTTATTTCTGTTTAACTGTGACTGTTAATCAATTATTCTATGTATAATTGTATAAAAACAAAAAATTTTCGATGGCCAAACTGTGAACCTGAAGATATTCATTTTACAAGCACATCAAACAGAATAAAGCAACAAGTGCTGATATATGACATGCTGAAAGCAGCAAATATTTGGTCTTTTTTCTGGCCAAATGACTTAAATGATAAAATAAGATCCTTGATACTTACTTCAGAATCAGAATCAGTTTTATTAGTCAAGTATGCACACACACATATAAAGAATTTGATTCTGTTTGTTCTTTCAAATGACTCACACAAAACACATGCATTTACACAAGGATAGCAGGTTAAATAAAGGAAATGTGTGTATCACTGCTATGTGGAGCTATAGATATGTGCAAAAGAGCACCTTTAAAGTGAGTCCTCATTTTTTCCCATTTATATATGAAGGCAATTAGTTATTTAGTCAGCTATATGTTTGACTTCTCCTACTGTCATAATCTGGTTGAACCTGCTAGGGGGCACCAAGTTATGCCAATTGTTGATGATTTTCAGTAACTATGATGATGACAAATACAAAAGATTGCAAATTCTTCTTTAAGGTAGACAAATGTTGTTCTTGTGGATATTTTTTTGAGTAAAAGTGTAAATAAATCCCCATTTGGTGTTTTAATTTTGTGTCAATGCACCTGCTGAGCAGCAGTTCTTCAACTTTTGGGTGCAGAGTGACGTTGTGGAAAGTAAAAACCAAAAAATCTACAAATTTAATTGATTTTGAGTGTTTTTTTTCCATTTGTCATTCCAGGTTATGAGCATCATAACGGAACGACTCCGTCACTCAGGCCTTCGACAGAAATATGATTCATAGTTTGCGCAAGCGCAATAACTTCTGTCTGAAGAAAGCGGCGTCATGCTCGCAGACATTTTCAGAGTTAAACCGGAATTTTGATGTGATTACTTCAAACTAATGGCATAAAAGAGCGTATAATAGGACTCCCAAAGTGTGTCAAGCTGCAATGTAATATTTTAATATTTTATTACCTTTGTGAATTTATTATAAAATGTTATATTTATCGTTAGGGTAAGCAAATGCGCTTGATACTGTTCAAACAATTTTACGACAAATTAGCCACCGGAAGTGAGGTGGGTTGAATATAAGCGATTGACGCCGGTCACCGAGAGTTTGAGTCGAGTACCAGGCACCGGTGAGTAAATAATAAGCTATAATCTGAGTGTGACTGAAAGCCTGACATAGATTTCGCTTTGTGAAAAGGCGTTTTCTCGCTTTGAACCGGTGTTTTATTGAAGGTCACTGACCGCTCTTGACTGTTGACTCGGTTTTGTGTGTGAAGAAGCGAGGCGGCGTTGACAGCCAGTGAACTGCCGCACACGCATGCAAAGTGTCCGCAGCCGCCGGTGCGTGACTTTGCTTTGTCTCCCGGCTTGTTAAGCAGGTACGATAACGAGGGGAAAAACGTGGGAA